CAGGAACAGAGGGAACAGGGGGAACAGAGGGAACAGAGGGAACAGAGGGAACAGAGGGAACAGTAGGAACAGAGGGAACAGTAGGAACAGAGGGAACAGCAGGAACAGAGGGAACAGTAGGAACACAGGGAACAGTAGGAACAGAGGGAACACAGGGAACACAGGGAACAGAGGGAACACAGGGAACAGCAGGAACAGAGGGAACAGAGGGAACAGGGGAACAGCAGGAACAGAGGGAACAGGGGAAACAGAGGGAACAGAGGGAACAGCAGGAACAGTAGGAACAGAGGGAACAGTAGGAACAGATGGAACAGTAGGAACAGAGGGAACAGTAGGAACAGAGGGAACACAGGGAACAGGGGGAACACAGGGAACAGAGGGAACAGAGGGAACACAGGGAACAGCAGGAACAGAGGGAACAGAGGGAACAGGGGGAACAGAGGGAACAGCAGGAACAGAGGGAACAGGGGAAACAGAGGGAACAGAGGAACAGCAGGAACAGTAGGAACAGAGGGAACAGTAGGAACAGATGGAACAGTAGGAACAGAGGGAACAGTAGGAACAGAGGGAACACAGGGAACAGGGGGAACACAGGGAACAGCAGGAACAGTAGGAACAGAGGGAACAGCGGGAACAGAGGGAACAGCAGGAACAGAGGGAACAGGGGTAACAGAGGGAACAGCAGGAACAGTAGGAACAGCAGGAACAGTAGGAACAGAGGGAACAGTAGGAACAGAGGGAACAGAGGGAACAGAGGGAACAGTAGGAACAGAGGGAACACAAGGAACAGCAGGAACAGTAGGAACAGCAGGGAACAGAGGGAACAGAGGGAACAGAGGGAACAGAGGGAACAGTAGGAACAGTAGGAACAGCAGGAACAGAGGGAACAGGGAAACAGAGGGAACAGAGGGAACAGCAGGAACAGTAGGAACAGAGGGAACAGTAGGAACATATGGAACAGTAGGAACAGAGGGAACAGTAGGAACAGAGGGAACACAGGGAACAGGGGGAACACAGGGAACAGCAGGAACAGTAGGAACAGAGGGAACAGCGGGAACAGAGGGAACAGCAGGAACAGAGGGAACAGGGGTAACAGAGGGAACAGCAGGAACAGTAGGAACAGCAGGAACAGTAGGAACAGAGGGAACAGAGGGAACAGAGGGAACAGTAGGAACAGAGGGAACACAGGGAACAGCAGGAACAGTAGGAACAGCGGGAACAGAGGGAACAGAGGGAACAGCAGGAACAGAGGGAACAGAGGGAACAGTAGGAACAGTAGGAACAGCAGGAACAGCAGGAACAGAGGGAACACAGGGAACAAAGGGAACAGTAGGAACAAGGGAACAGTAGGAACCCTGTACTATATTAATCATTATAGTAATATGTAACTGCTGATTGTGCATATTTCGTGAAACTTAAATGAAGTAACAGCCCATTTCGGCTATGTGTAATTAGTTCAGGTATAAAGGTCACAATAGAAAAGTAGAAAACAGATGGCACTTGTCTGTTCTCATGTAAAGATTTGAAATGATGATACAATTCATCGGTATCCACATTGAGCTTCGTTGACTCTTTTCTTGCTTCACAAACGTTTTTCCAGAATTCCCTAGGACTGTTGTGTTTGGCCAAGAGCAGTTTGTTGTATAGCTCGGCTTGGGCCTGTATTTTTAGCTTTTGACAATATCCCTATATTCCTTTTTCCTGGTGAGGTATTCGGTCCTTCCGTGTTTATTATTAACATCTTGTAGAAATTTCTTTTTGGCTTTATTAACCCTTTTCTTTTCTATTGGACACTCCTTGTCAAAGCATGGGTTTTTAGGAAGGGAGTTCACTCTATGTTGTTGTTTATCCCGTTTCTGTGCTTGAATTTTACTTCTGAACCCTGTCCAGCTTATTAACATTTCTTGAAGGGCTTTTGCAAGAAATTCTGGTGTGTCAATACTTGTTCTATATACTTTGTAACTCCTGGATTCTTCTATTACTACCCTCTATAGCCTGATTGAAAAACACAGGAGACTGTTCATTCCAGTGCACAGGTTTCACCAAGGGGTGTAGAGGTGCATGTACGTGTTGTTTATCAGAGTCTCCTACTTTATTTGTCGATAGATTCACAGCCAGGTGTAATGGACAGTGGTCAGTGTAAGTAGGCAGTTCACCAACAGAAAACTCAACAACTCTGTCATATAACTCAGCTGACGTAGTCCACTACACTGCACCCTCTGGGAGTATAGATGTGAAACATCCCTCAGGGTCTCCGTTATGCCGTCCATTAACTATCCTCATTCCGCTACTAATACACAGGTCATTTCCTTCAGCATTTATTTGGGTGTCCTGTTTCATCCGTGGCAGCACTTTGCTGTCTGGTAAGTAGCAGGAAAAGATATCCCAATCAGCATGATATTATATTCTTGAATTCAGATCTCCACACATAACAACACTTCCCTTAGACAGATATTGTTGACCATTACACGTTACAATCGAGTTTGCTGGTGGTGCATAGTAGAAACAGCAGAAAACGTCATTATTTACACCAGCAGTGCCACTGTCTTTAAATTTAATCCATAGTCTGTCTTCCATCGCTGTATCTTCAACAATTTCTACACTTGCAGAGAGAGTTTTATGAATGTATAGGATTATTCCGCCCGATCCTCCTCTCTTAGCTCTCGAATTCCTATACTTTCTCGGTTTATTGAAACATGTGTAGTTGGTTAATTGGAAATCCGTAGGGTCACTTAAGCTTAGCCATGTTTCACATAAGCAGATACAGTCATATTTCAAAGGTAAAATATATTGCATGACATCCTTAAATTTCTCTCTCTCTCTCTCTCTCTCTCTCTCTCTCAGAGAGAGAGAGAGAGAGAGACCTTGTACATTGATTATATATAAAAGTGCATACTTAGTGCCTTGGATCATGTAGTGTTCTGTGTATTCTGCAATTCACAATCTGACATGCTTGCTTTCTACATCGAGTATGGGGCTACCATTTTCCCACAGTTTGCCATTGTATATTCTTATCTTCTTATCTTTGAACTCTGGTTGCTTTAGCAGCTTTCTTCTCTTTTCACGTAACTCCTTTTCTCTGGCCATTTGCTCCTTTGTGAGATCATTGTTGATAAAGATGCTGGTACAAGCTAGTAGCCTCTTTTTTGTTATGATTTCTTTCATTTTCTCAAGGGCTATATATCAAGATAGGCCTTTGATGGGAGATCTCTTGGTTTTGTCTCCCCAACCTTCTGCAGTGGGTTACTGCAGGGGTCTCAACATTTAGCTTGTCTTGCAGAAAGTTGTTTATTGCTTTCATTCAGACCCACAACCCACAACATTCAGACACCACTCTCTCTTTCACTCTTTTCGATCAGTTGTTGTTATTTTTCAAAGGAATGAGATAGTCGGGCTACTTGGCTTTCAATGTAATCCATGTGAGTCGGTGGTGGTGTGTTCTTGTTGGTTTGGTTCCCGTTTGATTGTGAAGACTGTGTTGGGGAACTGGGACTTGCTTTCTAATTTTGCAATTCTGCCCTCAAGGTGCTCATTTTCCGTTTCATTGCATGGAGATCTTTCTCCATCTGTACCTATAGGGATGACAACGTATCTCTTATCAACTCTCTCAGGGATAGTGATAATTTTGCCTCAAGATCATCAGAGCTGAGTAAGATCAGTGGCTTCATCTCTACTGGCAATCTGAGATGCGACCAATTCTGGGGTTTCTGATGTAGGTGTTCTTGTATGTGGCTTCAGGTGTAGGTATTTCTGTAACAGCAGTTGTTTGAGAACGAGTATTTTCCATTGTGTCATTGGACTCTCTGTCTGCATTCTCACTAGAGCTTGTCGCCACTGTTGCCTTGCCGTGTTGTGGGCATGCCCTTCAATTCCCTTTTTGGGTGGCCACATCTGTACCGCTGTTTGGACTATATAAAGCTTTGGCTATTTGTTGACTCAAATCTAATTCTACTTCATGGATGGTTAGCCACTCTCCTATTGGCTTTCCCTCAAACTTAATACTTTGCTTCCACTTTCTTGCCTGCACCTAGGACATACTTTCAAATTCACTGGGTGTATATAATCCATTTTCCTAACAGATACATTTTCCAAGCTTTCTTCTGGGGGCTTTCATTATAATATCAGGTGGCAGAATTTTTACCACGTTTGACCACCAAACAATATTTACTGTGGTCACTCTTTTCAGCCATTACCGGTTCGTTTGCTTCTCGTTGCCTTACTCGGGTTTACTATATAAAAGCGCGCCCTTACTTCGACTGAACTATTAGCTCACCAAGCCACAAAGATTCTCTGAGGTCTCACGGATGAGTCGGCGTGTAGTCTTGGCTCAATCCAAGTTCCTCTATATACGAGTGCAGCCTTGGCATTCGGTAATGATGATATTGACAGGTAAACTACAAGTGTGTGGGTTGGAATCCCACCTAGGGTAGCTTAGCTGTCCTGGGTGTAATTGTTATGCCTTTCTACCTATGTTTTCACATGCATGTACGTACTCAATTTGGAGTTTGGCGTCTTTGGTACTCTAATTCTCCCCAGTCTGCTCCTATTATACTGAGTGAGAGTATACTACACCATAGCACAGTGGTGTAGGCTTGCCTATGTCTTGTGTTATTTGAACCCCTATACACTAGGTTAGTTGCCCTGGTAGCTCAGTGCTCGCCTTGACTGCAGTGTCGTGGGTTTGAATCCCACCTTGGAAAAAAATAGCTGTCCTGGGTGTATATAGTTCATTCGTTCTTTCTACCTCGTAGTTTTCACATGCATGACGACAATATCAAACTGCATCCAGAAAGGGAAGCCGGAAGAGGGAGGAGGGGATAATTTGCCTGTCAGCAGAATGCCCTCACACATGCCTAGCAGCTCTAAACACAAAATGCCTTGTTCTTCATCGTGCCTGGACGTGGATTAAAGTAAGACTAGGGCAGTTGCATAAACAGGTGATATCTGGCCACAGTTGGACATCCAAAGGAACCTGAGCACCGTGAGTCATTCGCACCATTTCCCCCTGACAAAAGGTTATGTATGGTCAAAGTTCATGAAGAAGTCACCTAAAGTTGTAGCTACACACAATACAATAAGTTTACTACAAAATGACATGTATAGTTGTAAGTTGATAAAACTAATTAGTGTAGTCTCTGTTTAGCTTGAAACTGTACAATGTATTTCCAAGTATCCGCAGTTTGAGCCAGAGTGATGTCACCAGGGAGCTCATCAAGATCTGGTGAAGGCTCCAGGTTGCTGGCCTCCAGATGAGGTGGCAGAGTGTCCACCAAACTGAAAGAGTAAGGGGAAATATTTACAGGTTCGTGAAAGTATTATTATACTGCCAGTGAGCCAACAACTAAGGAATTAAAGTGTATAATGGCAAGCAAGTTAAACAATATCAGCATAGTTATGCATGCATTGTGAGGACCTTGACCCTCCATGAGATAATCCATCCCAACATTGTTGCCTGGTGTGTCACTTGGGAATTTCACTTTCACTATAGGCATTATACTTGTTGGACTTACACACTAGAATGGAAATTTTCTGGAGACTCTGTTAGCATAAAAAAAATATTGTCATTTGCCTATAGGTCGTGAAAGACAACCCATTGTTTCAAGCCTTGGGTACCTGCATAAGTGTAGAGCACATCCCTTTCATGCTTATGTATCTTGGAAAATTCAGAGGCATCAGCCAAGAATATAGCCAGTGTGGGAGAGAGGTTGAACTTCTCTCTCCGCTTCTCAGCGCTCTTTTGAAGCAGGAATTCAGTGCTGATACAACACCCGGGGTAAGAAAACAGCTGTTTAGTGGTTGCCATTCCTGGCAATGCTCTGGGAACCGAATAAAAAGTGCAAGACCTAGCATCAAGACTTCATTAAAGCTGCCTTTTATTATTCCTCGGTGAGCATATGCATAAACACAGGCATACGGTGTAGTCGGTTGGCTGTCTGTCTCTGGGTCATCTGTTTCCTTAAACTGCTAACATCAAACTTTCTTGGATTTAAATTTTCGAGATAAGGGTTGGCTAGTTCTACACCTTTGAAGGCTTTTTTGCAGGCACTCAAGACTCTTCTGGAGGCGAACCTGCTCAGAGTGGATCGCTCTGCAACTCCAACTCTAGAAACTGATGACAGTATAACAAGGAAAAAATAGCCCAAAGCAACAAACCTAGGTCTGGTTTTGGCATCAACCAACACCCAGTGAGTGTGGTGAGTGCGAAGCTTTGTACGTGCAAACGTGCACACTGTATACCCGGCGCTGAAGACTGTGAACCAGCTCACAGTGGATCACTTTACTACTTCTATAGCTACTGGTGATAGTACTTACTGGGACAAAAGAGTCTAAAGCTACCGCCGGGGCTAGCTAGTAAGCCAATTGACACCACCAACATTTGTCTAAGGCCTCGAAACCACAAAAGGTAAGCTGTGGAAGATAAAGCAGCATACCAATGTACCCCCTCTCATCTACGGTATGTTCGAGACACAACTGCAGTAGATTTGCCATAGTTCTGCATAATTACGCAGGTATAAGGCTCGCCTGCTCACCAAGTAATGCTTTGCTTATAATGTCCGTCATGAGACAGAGTTCAATCCTGCAATGTATTCCTAATGTCCTTTATCTGTTCTTATTATGCTTTCAGCTTTCTAGCCTACCACCTTTATGCCATTTGTTAGACTTCATTGCCCAGACGTTTTCACATTAGCAGTTAGCTAATTGCACAGTTGGTCCCAAGTGGCAAATAGATGTTCCTGTTAGCTAGTCATAACTCCTTGAAATGTGAAATAGTAGCTCAATTGATCAACAGTGTAAACCACATTCTCCATTCCGATGACAGTCAGCTGATAATATCGTAAAAGGCGTTTGTTTGGTGGAAAACGTTAAGACCAAACGGTGAAAAGGAGGCAAAGAAGGTGGCTGGAATCAGGAGTTGAAGCACCTGAAGTTGTTGGAACTGACGCCAACTGACGCCAACTGACGCCAACTACTACAACCATGCCTATTTGGAAAATAATCCCCCAGGGAGGTGGAAAGTTCTTCTCCGAGAACGTCGAGACTCAGCGTTACTTGTTACAAACTGGCAAAGCAATGAAAGCTAAAGGTGACTTTGGAAGTGAAGGTGGTGGAAAAAGTCTAGCAGGCCTGTGCCATCTCCGACTGTTGGAACAGATGAAATTACTACAATTTATTGCCTGTTGCTAAGGTGTTGCTAAGTTTATTCCGCAAAATAAACTGCCAACAGGGCTGTGGTTAGGGAGCAGGGAGATGTTGCAGGTGTCAATAACTGGTGTTGATTGGAAAGGACAATAGAATTCCTTGTGGCTAGGGCGATGTTGCAGGTGTCAATAACTGGTGTGGAATTTTAGTCAGTACTGTGTACAAATAGCACGACCTTTTTTCGTTGGGAATGGAAGATTGAACTGATTTACCGCCACGTTCACCCGAGGCAACGCCACTAGAATCCGTGTTTTTCGGAACATACTTCTTCGCGAGCGCTCCTTCGGCGCATTCGTCTAAGAACTCCCACCGGTGGGAGCATTTCTTGGAAAGACTTAGGCGCTTACTCTTGGATGGAGGCGATCGGCGCCTCCCTTTCCCGGATTTGCCCGCTGCTCAACACGGTGCTTTCTCGTAAATGGCGTTGCCTCGGGTGAACATGGCGGTAAATCAGTCCAATCTTGCATTCCCAACGAAAAAAGGTCGCTAGAATGAGCCACCGCTGAGGAGCGAAGGAGACACAACTGGCACAGCGCTCGCATCCGCCATTCTTCCCGCCAGTGTAAAATTGGCTGTTTGACGTCACGTTACCATAGTAAATACTGCTTCCGGCGTCTTAATTGGCAATAAATCAATTATAGCATGCCTAGTCGGTATGTTTCGGTTTATTCCGCCCTCCCCTCGACACCACTCGGGCGTCGGGCGGAATAAACCAGCAACATACCTCCTAGGCATGCTATAACTAATACTTAGCCTACTGGGAAAAATCCCCCAAAGGACGGCGAGTATTTTAATGAAAACATCGTTACCTAACGTTATTTGTTCCAACAATCAGTGGGAATCACGCAGAAGAAGGCAGGTGGACAGCTAATTCACATTACTACAACCACAGTACTGGAGGCTGCAGCTGGTGCAGCAATGAAGCCGTTGAAAACTAAAGTGATATAGGTAGCCAGTTAATTAACTGAGTTTGTAAGACACTTAGCTAGTCATAGACACTAGTTTAAAACCTCTTATTTGGCAGGTGTTACGGTGTCACACATGTAAACGTTTAACTTTAAGTGAGTTAAGATAAGAATAGCTTCAACCTCGAAGTTATGATACATTAATGTAAAATCTGAACAATATTGCATATTAGTGATGGTAACATACATTTGTTTACGGTAACCCTCTTAGCTAGCTACTGTACCTAGCTTAGGTACGTATAGCTAGTGGCAGTCTTCGACCTGTAGCTTCCTTGGCTTGGAACCTCCTACTCCACTACTTTAGCCAAGCAGTATATAGCTACGAACGCTTTTCGACGAACACACTGCCATCAGATACGGTTCTTGCTGGCGAGTTTACGTCACTTTTTTAATGTCTATAGCTATTCTCATTTTGTTTTTAGCACCTTCCCTTCCCAAGTGTGGGTGAAGTAGCTATTATTTGAGTTACAGTAGGAACATGGTTCTGTGGCGAGGGTTTGCACTTTAGTAATTTTCATTAGTTACGTGAGGTGTGGTATCATTCTGGGCTACCTCACTGTGTAATGGCATACATAAGACAGACGGACAGACAGACAGCTAGACAGACGGAGAGACAGACAAACAGAGAGGCAGACAGGTGCTCACCCCCACTCCTTCTTGTTCATGTCGATGTGTCTGGTGTAGGTTTCAATGAACTCGTACAGTGTTCCCAGCAGAGCTGACAGGTCAACCTTTGGAAGAGCTCGGTCCAGATGTTTACATTGGGTCTCTGCTAATGGTTGCAGAAGCTCTTGACTCAGAGTATGGAATGGCTCCTGCATTAAAAAAAAAATTTAGGAAATTGGTGTCATACAGACTGTCAAGCCAGCTATATTTCCCACACGCACACAAATTAAAAGGGTAGGGTCACTCGGGGGGGAAACATGTCTCGTGACTATGCATTATTATTATGCATTGGTTAATTTCGGAAGTTGGTGTCATACAGACTGTCAAGCCAGCTATATTTCCTATGTGCATCCACACGCACACAAACACTCGGGGGGGAAACATGTCTCGTGACTATGGCACACATTTCAGTTCGTTACCAAAATTTGTACAGTCAAATCAGAATGTGATCATGGCGTCAAATGTATGGCAAAAACCCACCATGCATGCTCAATGGGCAAATTATATCATGTGACTCGACCACTCCTCATGTGCGAACATAATGTGAGCCATAGTCGCCAAGTTTTTTGCTACAGGGTCCCACCCATTGAGCCTGAATTCACGTAGGAAGAATTAATCTGCTCAGCAAGAAGAGGGTACGCATATCATACCTGTCCACTCAAAGTGATATTTTGTGCCAGACCAACTGACAGTGTTTGCCAGAGAGAGAGAATGTGTTCTAAATTACAGTGTTCTTTGGCCTGCAGGAAACGAGGTATCAGTCATGTGGAGGAAATGCATCAAACTATATTGATTACTTTCTCGCTGAAAGACCTCTTCTCCATCTTTAACTTTCTGAGGTAGGAGCGAAGTGTTGTCTTTGGTTTCCCTCCTCCTGACGTCAGGAAACCGAGGACTATCTCAACCACATCCAAAGACCTCCGAAGCTTGTCAGGCGATCCCAGCTCTCGTAATATGTCCTGCTGCACTCTCTGCTGCAAGGCACTCTGCACATGACATAACACAAAGTGGTACAAGCCAACAATTTAGCCTGCAATATTACCTGTGGTGCCACCTTCTTTCTTACGGCAGCAAATTTGGCTGCAGTGTAGATATCCTCCTGGTAGCTGACATGGGGGATATCGACCAGGATGGTGGGCTTCCCATGGATAAAGCGGTCCAGGATATATTTCTCCAGGGCTGGGAGGTCGTAGGAGACCTCACGACCCTGGCCCAAACGGAGGGAGTAGTAGCAGTGAGAGAGAAGGATGGATGTGAGCTGGCTCTGGTAGTCCAGGAGGTGGCACTTGTGGGTGTGGGCTAACTGGATCTTGTGCTCATGCCATGCACTACAGTGGAAGGAGAAATGAGCGTTGCAAAGTATTAACAGTCCTTCCTCACCTTGTCTTGCTCTTGGCTCGACACCAGTCAATAAAGTTGTTGTGAACGTATGAGAGGTAATGGACGAGGGAAAACGTGCATGCCCCAGGACCAGTGGTGGTCGGAATGAAAAACTCCAGAGCGGTGGTCAACCCTAGGTCCTCCTTAAGGTACTCTTCCTCCACCTTCAACTGGCCTATATACACAGCAGCATGAGTGAAGTAACAATATTATGGTGCATGTGTTTCCGTCACCGTGGTCTTTAAGTTTGTCTCTGACAAGTAGCCAAGCACGTTGCACGCTAGCAACCATCTTCTGATACTCATTCTCTGAAAATGTGGCTTAGTCTGTGTACCAACACAATTTCACTGACATATACATACCTGTGCGGTGCCGTACAATAAAGTCCCGCATGGACATTTTGTGGGCCATCTTGCGATCGATGCGGTGGTGCATTTCATCAAAGAGCAACTTTTGCAGTCGCACTATGTCTGGAATATACTGAGTGGCTTGCAGAACTGTCTCCTACAAAACACAGTTAAATGATGTATGCTTGACTGCATAATACAGACAAAATACATTTTTGAGAAACTCTTCCAATATGGGAAACTTCTTCTTCTGCTGCTGCATGTATCTGACGAGGTGCTCGAGTGTGATGCGAGGCCTATAGCCCCACATATGTGGCTCCAGACTGTCCTTCACCACAGGTGTCCGCTCGTACACCAGATAGTACAGAGGATCATGATCTGCATGAAAGTGAGGTTCACAACTAAGAATTGTGTTAGGAAAATAACACTTGCCTTGTTTATCATCATTCAGGATAGTTGCCATTGCAGAGGTCAATTCAGATTCCAGCTTCTAAATTAATTAACGTAACTCAAGAGTATATACAGAGAGCTTATAATGACCTCAAGAATGGGGTTGATATAGAGCCCACTGAACTGCTTCTCCCACTGGTTACGGACATCTCTTTTCCCTAGTATTCCTAGAGGTATGGCAGGACTGGGAGGGTTAGTGGTGAGAATGTTCCTCAGAACAAGATGAACCACAATGGCAGCATCCTCGGGGTTCTTCCCCAGGGCCCTGGCTAGCAGCTGCACATCTCTCTCCAGGTGACCCCAGAAGAACTCGGGGAGCTCCCGTGGACTGTGGAGACCTGACTTGACTAGTGCCAGCAGACCTTGTGTGGCACTGTCATCATTACAGCTGGTCCACAGTAGGGCAGAGTGCATGATGGCCCTCACAATACAGCAAGCAGCGGGAGAGAGAGAACGCTCTGGGTATGGGACATTGGAACGTGTTGTAGGGTGACCCAGTGAATGGCCAGTTTGAGTAGTGTCAGCTCTTTAGAGAGAGAAGAACAACCATGGGGTTAAACAGGGGCCAAAGAGCAATGGACGAACACATACGTTCTAGCAGCTCTGTTGTTGGCCAATGCTCTATGGTTTGTACCACCAATAGCAGAACCACATGTTACACAGTTTGTCTGCTGCATTGGCTGGCCACACTGCAGTGCACACAAAAGTTACAAAGAGATTGCATACGTTCAACTTACTGACCTCTCCAACAAAATATGGATGACCGTTGGGACATTCTATACAAGGAGAAAGGAGAAAATTTATTTGCATCATAATATACCTCCATCTTTACCATAAAACTGTCCTCCGGTAATAATTCTTCTGGCTTCTGGAAGCATATCTTCTGCCATTGTTGGCAGATAGCATTGCTAGCAACAAAGCAATTTTCTGTCACACATTGTTTCATTCACCTAAATATCGACTCACAGCCATATTCCCAGGGGCATTAAGCAGGGTCACTAGAGGACAGAGGATGTCAAGACTACTTCTGCTGATAAGTGCGGCCACTACATGCACCACTAGTGCCCCTAGTGACTGCTGAGCTGGTGTCTGTGCAGCAGATACTTGGAATGCTGCAAGAGGACCCCCTTGCTCATTTGACACCATTTTCCTGGCCATGACTTTCATCTGCATAAGACGACAGTATGGACTGTCCCTCCAAAACAAAGTAAACTACACATACTTCTCTGGAAAGAGCTTTGCAGTTGACGACAAGGTCATTCATTTTTGTCATTGTCTGAGAGAAACAAAGGTTGACACACACAACTAAAAAATTCTTAGTGGACATTACCTCTTGCAGCAACTGTTTGCCGAGGTTTGCAGAAACTCTGCTCATAGTATAGACTTCATACACACTCAAGAGAAATGGAACACACTCCTGGGGCTGCAAGGCCTACAGCGGGGATAAGGAAAACATTCTACACTGCAGCAACACCATTGTCAGAGTCATACAGCAGTGTGCTCCTCAAGGTCTTTGTAGTCTCTGCCATATGCTGCAGCACTCATCTCTTCTCTGACGGGAGCATAGACTGGATTATAGATCACAAATGGGTCGAGCGTATTTTGCTCCTGTGGAATATCACAGTAATATACCTCAAAAATCATGGAACATACCTTCTCCTGCTCAAGTTTTTTTGGTATAATCCAATTAAACTGTGGGTCCTTCACAATCTTGCTCAAGGAGGAAAAGCCTCCCTGGCTCACTAGCAGCTTCAGTAGGTACACTATGGGCCCTGTTGTGTTCATCTTCCCAGTAGTGTCAATGGTGTTAATTTCAGTTTTCGTACAGGCACGCCTGATCATGAAGTAAGAAAATAAATAAGAAAATAAAAAATGATTCAATACCTTGTTTCCTCGAGTAACCGATGAACAAGATGACCATACAAGAATTGTGTACCACCCTGCCGATTAGCATGTAACTGCAGCAGTTCTGTTACTACTTGGAGACAGTAACGCATCCTAGCCACACTCTCCAGTAGGTCCAGAGATACAGTGTGCTCTGAAAAACCAGCTGAATGGACCAAACCATCTGTTGCAGTGGTCAGCATTTTATCCCTGACAATCACTTCCGTTTTACTCTCCAATGAGAGACTACTGTATTGTTTGTCGAAAGAATTCTGAAATTTATATAAAAAATAACAAGTAAAGTAAGGCCGGAAAAACAAGTGAAAGTTTCACCCCTCAATCAGCTTACCTACATACATAGTAGATACATACCTCAAAACACTGTACACACAGCAGACTCAGTTCTTGGTCCACCCCCATACCTCCGACCAAGGCCTGCTGACATCTGTTAAAGTAGGTCTTCAAATGGCCCTTCACTTTCTCGGTGCTACATTAAAGAAGGTTCACAGTGTGTTCTACTGCAGGCATACAGCATTTTCTACTGGCATACTCATGTTCCAGGAGTAGCTGCAGTAGGAAAGATCGGACAACCGGCTGTTTATCGCAGCAACATCATCCTTGAATGGGGTGAGATTTCTTGTTCCTCTTCTCCCACCCTCGCCTTCGCCTCCTTCCTCCACTTCTCTTTGCTCTGTGAACACAATGTCCAGGAGCATGATGATCAGGTCGTCTTCTGGAACACTTGATTGCCCAAAGCACAATCCAGACACCAACTCAATGAAAAATGTAGTACAACTTTTCCTGATGGCAGACAGCAACTTCTTTTCCTCTTTACTCCTGAATATATACAAACAGGTTGATTCAAGACACTTTTGTGTGACAATTTTCACGAGTGTTTTGCTGACCCTCAGATTCAGCGGGCAGTAACGAAAATTGGGATGAGTTACAGTTACACTGCATAATCTGCTGAAATGCACACCGCACACGAAGTAAAGTAGCTGTAATAAGGTTATGTAATCCAAGGCAAGTGGCTGTTATGTAACTACTCTACTTGCGCTGTATAATGGGCTCTCAACTCGCATAGTTGCACAGCGCTTATGTGCAGTGACGGCCTTGCCCTAATTAGCTCCCATAGTGCGCGTACTTAAAAATGCTTGTTTTCGCAATATTAATAGTATATACCGCAACAAAATCTAAGGTATGCTGTACATAACTTACTTCAATGTATTTTTAAGCTTTCCAAGCATGATGTTTAGGACCTGTTTCACCTTCTCAATAGTTGAATAAGTAAGGAAGTCACTCTCACTCCGTAAAGCCTACAAAAAGGTGGATAAGAAGAGAATAATGGCTATTTAAACCCCAGAGCACAGAGTATGTGAGTCCCACTTAGGGAAGCTCTAATAGGGTGTCATTGCTTCGCTCAATTATCATTCATGCTAAACAGGCAAAAAGCAAAGAGTCGGGCTTTAATGATGATGCTGGCTAAACTACCGCCAATTATTTACCATTATTTATTGATATTGACCATTTACCCTACATATTAATAGAAGCTACTTCTGGACCATAGGACCTAGTGTGTGAATCAACAATGCAGCTCAAGCTTAATATTGTAACAATATGCAATTGTGTTTCAGACCTTACCAATTTCAAGTTGTCTGGCATATTTTACCATCTTCGAATGGTTCAAAAGAACATGTTCTGTGAACATCTGAATAGCCCGTATCTTCTGCCACTGGAGCCTACGGGAGATTACGACTCAGGGTATAAATGATCATAGAACCAATACAGACAGGGTAGCTATCACCTTGCTCGGAGTGCAATAGGCTGCTGACTGGACAAGCTGAGAGTCGACTCAATGGCATTGCTTGCTTCCCTCAGTTTGTTCAGCCAAACTCTCAATAACTGGTCATCAGAATACACAGAGACCCGCTTTGGCTTTATTGGTGGCTCCAGTCCACTCAGAATCTTATCCATGGCATACAGGTGAAGCATCTGGAAAAAGAAACATCACTCACTGCTTTGAAGCCAAAATTATTGACCTACCATACAATCATCTTGACCAGCTGTCTGTTCTACTGACTGGAGCAGACTGCTTAAGATCCCAGGACTTTGTGATGTCAGCTGCCCAAACCAGTGGATACCCTCACAACTTTCTGCATACACTACATGTACTGCTGCAATCCTTCCGACCAGGGACACATTTCCATCTATTGTGCTGAAGTCTGGACACCTTACAACCAAATTGTACAGAGAGTCTTGTATCAGCTGTGTCAAAGAACACATGGTAAGAAGTTGAGGTATATACTCCAACCTTAGCTCACCTTGTATTCATCTTGTACACTCTGCTTCATCTTGTGAGTGCACCTATGCACACTCTGCACAAAGTCATGGAGGTAGCGTCTGTATAGCTCCTCACACTGCTCTCCATCAATAATACTTAACAGCACATCGCCCAGGGGACTATCTGACACTAGGGAACACAGCTGCTTGTATACATGCTGTCTGTGGGAACCTGCAAATTGTTCAATGACAAGTGTCATCATATATGTAGAGCAAGCACCATAATAGCTACCTCCAGTGCTCTGTGCACTGTCCCAGTGAGATTCAACGAGCTCCTTCACCAGCCAGGAGAAAGGGAACTCACAGACAAAGTCCTCATGGTTCATCTCAACTTTCACCCTCCCAACCATGTCAATGTACCGCAACGCCTCCTCTGCCCTGTTGCTGGCAAATACCCTCAGCCAGAACTGGGAGAGAGGTGTTGGCTTTGGCTGCAGAAGACTTAGGTTACAGTTCCTGTCCACAAAGGCAATAATCTCTGCTAGACAAGGAATGATGATGTCGTCTAGTTTCCTGGTGAGCACATTCATGAATGTTCCTCCTGTCTGAAGATTGTGCATGTCCATGGCCTCATTGAGCACCCAGTTATCATCCTTGTGTACTCTCTCTCTCTCACCAAGCATGCGGTGGATGTGAGCCACAAGAATAGAGTAAAAGGTATCAGGCTCTGTGTATGGAGAGACATTTGAGAAGTAGGGAACAATATACCTGGCACTATTACTGCTATGTATGTGAGGGGAGCACCACACCACAATGCTTTAACTAATTGTTTAACATGCCACGACGCTCTTGAGGCTAGCTCGACATTGTTACAAACTGCAGCACCACGAATCTACATACAAAAGCAGATTACTATGTGCATGCCAACTACATAAAAAGCTGCTTTCCAGAAAATCGACAGTGGACCTGAAAACGACCTGGATAAAATGTCTAAGGTTATGGTCACCATTACAATGTACCTAGAGGAAAGGTAGGCTTGCGAGGAATGACTTGAATCAGTAGTCGCACTCTATCTGTGGCTCTCTGTCTACTCAGAGTGGAGTCCTGGAGACGAGAGGCTGAAGCCTGGATACAGCTGTTAAGACGGACACATTGAGTATGTACATCAGAGAATGCTTTGGTCCCCAGTAAGGCTGCTGATGCTGGCTGCATATCATGAGGAGAAATAGGTGGAGGCTTAATTGAGTCTCTTTCTTGAATTTCATCATTTCCACCGCCCTCCACTAGTTCATCATCACTTTCACTCTCTATGACTATAATTTCCATCTTTTCCCCATCCTCTTCTCTTCTGCCCTCGGCACCAAGTCCGTCTCCCTCTCCTCCTTCCTCCATTGGTTCGTCTTCTGCACTTATCATTCTATCAAAGGCTGCACTGCTAGAGACTTGAGATGTTTGTCTCTCAAGCTCTGTCCCACCGTAGAACAGTTGACTGATGGCGACTCCCTGGGCCACCTCTAGGGTAATGGCACTGTCACCACTGGGTCTCAGCTCATCGATGTGACAGGACATCCAGGGGTCTCCTTGGAACCCAACAAAGGTGGAGTGAGCAACTTGCACTGGGAGGTGTATGATGAAGACTACGTGTGTGACGTGGCCTTGTTTCGATCTCATGAACTTTGACTGAGTCTTAGCCTTGGCTCGCATGTCGTAAATGCGGTAGCGGGCACACGCAATGAGGTCACCATTGATGTGGCCGGAGTCACACTGGATGATGAGCAGACAAGGCTTCTGGGAGTCTTCATCCCTTACAAACAGTGGGCTGAGAAAATAATACACACAACATTGGTACAAGTGACATTGTTGGTGAGCATGGTTTATGACAAAACCACCGCCCACACTATGGCAATTGGGTGAATGTGGTTAATTGGTTGCACACACACACACACACAAGTGTAAAATAATACAACTGTTCGGTATGTGCCACAGCACCCTACAACTGCTGGATAGATACAAATGGACAAATCCCTCTGTAGAACAATTGGGTTGGCATGCTCATGTCATTGTTACAACCCTCGGCGCGCATGCGCTAGAGGGTTCTTTATAGTACTTGGTCGTAAGGTGTCGGTCCTGTGTCTTGTCCGTCTGTCTGTTACCGTTCTGCGACTACGCGCAAAGAGATAACAAAATAGTGATACCAAAGGGTTCGTCCGTACACTGGCTTCATTTTTAAAAAGCGCGATTTTCGTATACTGTGCGTTCAAAAAGTTATGGCGTGAAAAAAAACAAGTGAACAAGCCAATATGCAAATTAGCGAAGGCTTACTCGACCGCGTCCGCTCGCTCTGTGTATCTTGCAGGACAAGAAGTCACAACGAAGGGCATGTAGACTCCCGATTTATCTACTAGCCCATGTCAGCATCTCCGCGAGCACTAGCGGATACCACGAGTAAAGACATACACCGCCAGCCCATCCCCCCCCCAATTGTGCTACCGCGATGCGCAGTTCCGCCGAGGTTTGCCCTTTTAGTGCTTTTCATTTATTCGCAAGAGAGGTAATAGTTTTATTCAGCGCATCTGGCACATTCCAAGTGGGGAAAAAATCATTTCTTCCAAATGAAAGGAGATAGAGGGATGGCTTGGAGCACCCAAAAAGGAAGAAACAAAGGGTCATTACACAGCAACATACACAAAACTAATCACACCATCCCGATATTCATTGTCTGATACCTTGCCTATGAATAAATGGAACAATGATACAGGGATGGTGTCATGTAGTTTTGTGTATATTTGCTGTGTAATGACCCTTGTTTCTTCCTTTTTGGTGCTCCAAGCCATCCCTATATCCCCCTTCATTTTGAAGAAATGATTTTTCCACTTGTTCTTAATGAAAAGCACTAAAGTGCAAACCCTCGGCGAACTGTGCATGCGTGATACTGCTAATTGATGGGCTGGGCTATTTGTAAGCGTTTACTCGTGGTCTCATGCTAGTAGCTTGCGGAGAGTCTGACACGGGCTAGCTACAGTAGTAGATAGCATGCGGGAATCGACACATGCCCTTCGTTGTGACTTCTTGTCTCCTCCCTGTCTCTTAAGTGATATCGTTGTCTCATGTGCAGACCCCACAAAGTTGTCCAAGTATAATTATTTTAAATGCAGCACCAATTCACTTCCTGCTACGAGGGAAGAAATGTGACACGGACATTGTGCCATTCTCCAACCTAGTCTAGCCAGTGGTAATTTGCGTATTGGCTTGTTCACTTTGTTTTCATACCATAACTTAAATGCAGAATCACAAAAGTGTTAATTAAAAGCAAGCATTGAACTTGCTGGTATCACTTTTTGCCTAGCTTGTTGCGTGCGGTGGCAGAAAACGTGGTAAAAGACAAACAGACATACAGACGGACAGACAGATGGACAGAGACAGAGAGACACATTTGCACCGTATCCCTTGCTGCGCATGCCCACCGAGGGTTAAGTATGATCTGACTTTAATTAAATTTTCCTGCTATCCAATGAACGTTGCAAATTGTAAATACATGCAGTACAACAAGTAGCTAAGAGATGCTGTTTAAACAGGACCATACAGAATGCCACTGTTCAGTTTATTCTCGGTGGTGAGGTAAAATTCGGCATGATAATTGACAAATTCATCCATTGTTATCCTCTCATCCCCATCTTTGTCCATGGCATTAAAAGAATCCTGAGCATATCCTGGTGGTATCCCCATAGCAGCATTATGCATTTTCCATTCACTGATGTCGATAATATTATCGCCATTGACATCAAGACATACAAACATACTCTTAAACAACCTATTAACTACGCTATCTTGATCTTGGGCCATCGTAGCCTGCCAACGTTTTTCAAATTCCTCATAGCTTAACACAACACTATCACCAAGCCCAATCCTATCACAGAAAGACATAAAAATTTTTGACAATTTACCACCAGCACTCTTCTTGTAGCGTTCGACTACTAATTCAAAATCACTCCTTGTTATAGAACTGTTCTTGTCAGTATCATGTGTTTCAACTGCTCTGCGAATCTTTCACTCTTTTTCAGCTCAACAACATCAACCATCTTCAACTAAATCTCTCTTCTAAGACGACTACAATTGGTAAGAAATGCGCTTCTAGCTAAGCACAGTTGCTGAAATGATGAGGAATTTTGAAGTTTGCCCTCTAAAGATTGAAGTCAATAGCAGAATCTGTCATCCTGAGCCAAGTAGCTAATGCAGGAATTTGGACATGCTCCTTATGTTTTACTTAAGGAATGTGTCTGTACATTAAGGGAATAGCCAACATTTTACAATTATCATGGCACGTAAAGATACACGTAAGCAGGTCCTAACATTTTTAGCACTCTATAGCTATACTTGCTCTCCAACCATGTATACATGTCATTGTGAATAAATGAAAATATGGATGCCATGAAGCAATGGACAGATCACACTAAATACACTTTCCACAGTGTGGTCTGTTTGTTGCAAGTAGAACACCAGTATAATTATAGCTACCTTGCATTTCTGCCCCCAAGAGCAACCAATGATATAGAGTTTCCCCAGTAGCAAACAACCTAACCATGAACAGGTTGACAGAGAAAATAGTAGTCCTTGACAAAGGCCAACAGGTAGGCACTAGGAGGAGACATTTGATAGCAGAATAAAATTGTCTCCTCTGAACAAACAGATCCCAAAACATGGTCAAAGCGTGGGTACGTGGTCTCGTTACTAGACCCCTCCCACCCCACAGGAGAGGGTCTAGAGACATTCGAGATAGTTCTGAGAAATGTGTGTCAACCAATCAGATTGCAGACTTTCCAGCAACAATCATGTAGGCAAGGGGTTGACTATAGTACTACAGTCCAGTAAAACAAAATTTTGTTAAAGGATATTGTCCTGTGTGGCTTATAACACTCAATGTACGCAAGTGGGTACAATGAGGCTTTGTTAGCAAACACATGCAGTAAACAACGCCATCCCAAAAGGTGGACAGAATTGAAAAGTTACTATCAAAGGTAAACAGAGTATTTATGTCCACACACGACACACACAGTATCTTAGGTCTAGTTAACTGCAAGCTATGCACACCACTTTCTCTCCCCAAGTGACTCCAAATTCAAACTCTTTGGACTCTTTGAGAGTACTGTGCCATGTCTCAACAACTTGGTAACGAGGTAGAAATGCAAAGCAAGGCAAACAAGTCAACTACACCCAGGACACCCTTTCTTTTCAAAGAAAAGAAGAAGAGATGCCCTGGGTGGGATTCGAACCCAAACCCACGACACTCTGCAGTCTACGCGAGCACTCTACCAACTGAGCTACCAGGGCAACTCAACTGGTAGGGGTTTCGAATCTACAACACAACACGAGGCAAACCTCAAACCACTGTGCTATGGCACAGTATACTCTCACTCAGTACGCATGTAGGAGCAGACCAGGGTAATTACACCTAACTAATACATTGTCATCTGTGCATTATGCCCCCTGGTTCAGGGATCAGCAGCCCATTAGCTATTGCTATGCTAGACCTTCAGTGTTTGCTAGAGTCTAGTGCTTTCACTTTGCCATGCAGAGTGCCATCATACGTACAAGCTGTTCCTTAACCCTCGGCGCGCATGCACGAGGGTTACAGTACTTGGATTGTCATTCCTTCCGTCCATCGTCCGTCTGTCTGTCTGTTACCACGTTTTCTGCCACCACACCCAACGAGACAACAAAATAGCGATACCAACAGGTTCGTTTCTACACTGGCTTGATTTTAAAAATAGCGATTTTCGTAGAAGTGCTGAGTTCTAAAGTTATAGTGTGAAAAGCAAGTGAACAAGTCAATAGCACTGGCTTACCTCGACTGGGTCCGCTCGCTCTGTGTATCTTGAAGGCACAACAAGTCACAACGAAGGGCGTGTATAGACTCCCGCATGCTATCTACTACTGTAGCTAGCCCGTATCAGACTCTCCGCGAGCTACTGGCAGGAGATCACGAGTGAGCCCATCAATTAGCGGTACGGCGCATGTGCAGTTCGCCGAGGGTTCGCACTTTATTATACGCAATGTTAACTGCCTTGCCTTGCCTTTCTACCTCGTTACCAAGTCGTTGATACATGCATACACTCAGTTTGGAGTTGGGCGTCTTTGGTGGTTTAATTACGTTTTGGTATCTTTATACACAGTTGTGGTATGGGCAGGCTTTAGTACAATGTTAGATATATACCTTCCAGCGGGCACAAACAATGGAGGCTCAAATAGTGGCATACAACACACGCTGCGCTTTACGCAGTGGTGACGCTGGCTCCTACACCCAACACGCACCATATACACACACACTTGCAAACTTGCTGCCTGTGCAAACCAAAACGCAGGTAAGCTAGCTGTACGCTTCCCGAAATGCTTTTATACCTGGAAGGCCTTGTGGAAGGCACTGGCATGGCAACGACTGTGGAGTTCTGACGCGCGTGCGTGCACACGCAGCATTAGGACAACGCCCCCTGCTCGGCGCATGCTCATTGCTGAGTTAGCAGCAAATGGCGTCTTTTAGTGCTCCCCATGGAAGAGCTCCACGATCAACGGTAGTGACTTGCGGCAGGAAAAAAACAATTGCTTGATGTCCGTGCACACCTCCGGTGAATTTGTAGCCGTTTCGTGATACAATCAGCGCTTCAAATCGTTCAGGTATGGAGATAGCGGGTTTGAAGAAGAAGATGAAGAATACTATGATGATGAAAAAAATTGACAAAAATCTATACGAAAATCGTGAAATCGCGTATGAGCGAATTCCCGCCTGGAGAACTGAGGGCATATAGAAGTCTTGGGGCATGTGTATATGGGCCTGTAGACTATTGCTAGTGATTTATGAACACCTAGATAGTCATTTTCACCAAGTTTTGAGGTGTTTTGTATGTGAATCACGTGAGATTTGACCCGTGTCATCCCTATGTAGAGTGTCTACCGATGCTCTAATAGTGGCAAGTACAACGTAGACAAACAATAACTATACTCAGTCGCAAAACTGTGCTATGCATGCACATTGCACATAGATCAAGAGGGTTTTTATCAAGGAATGAACTGAAGTGGGAAACAACAATTGCTAATGGTCAAACGATAGGAATTAATCCATTATACACTAATCCAGGTTTCTTGTAATCTACAACCTCCACTCCTTTTCCTTAAAATACCAGCCTACAGATATCAGGCATGTTTTGTGCATACTGATATGCCCACCTAACTTTGCTGGTAAAGTCCAGCTCAGTGTCAAACTCCTGAAGAAGGAAGGAAAAGACATTGGGACTAACTGTTGCGGGCAGAATATCACTCAATTCATGAACTTCGTCTGATGAGAGGAGATGGCTGTGGGTGGTCACCTGGGAAATTATGCAACTCTTAGGACTTAACATTCCTTATCTATGACAGATATATACATACCTGCAAGAGTAGACCTCCTCTAGAGTTGTCATGTGTCAAGTGGTAAGTGAGAAAATCATCAATGGAGCAATGGTGCTGGGTTCTATAGATGTGGCCCAACCTTTCACCTTCATCTTTGAGCCTGCTCTTGTCCAGTCTGACAAGAGCAGCAGGTGGAGTCATTTGTAGCAGCAGAAACTGCCCTATGAGCAGCACCTATGATATGATGTAAATATGTAAATTAAAAGCGATTTCATATGTAGGTTTGAAATTACACGATTGCATCACCTCAATAACTGTAAAAACTGCTATAACCCCCCAACAGTCTGTTTAAAAGTTTTTAAAAAGCAAGAATTACTCTCACAAAAAGACAAAAAAGCTCATGGTGCCACTGATTTTACATGCTTATAATAACTCGCAACACAAACGATCCAAAAGGAGTGTAAGATGTGGCAATCAGGAGTCATACAATGTATCAGAATCTCTATTGCATTTGCACCATTGGGACCTTACTTTTTCTATGATGCTAGGTACTACCATGCCCATCCTATTATACCGTACTTAGTGATAGTACTCTGCACAAGACCCCTTACTGCCTGTGTCCAAAGCTCAGATCCCTCCTCTTCTCTGGAGAGCTGGTCCACACTGCCATGTCCCAGGAGACCATCTTTCCAGGCAATCTCCCACGCCTGTTGTCGACCTCTGGTCCCTCTCCTCATTCCCTCACAGGTCTTCCTCAACTGACTGGAGGCCTGGAATACCACTGCTGCTGCCACGTCTTTCTGGTACCCAACAAAGGCATCACCCTCCTTGAATCTACAGTAAATAACAAGTCAGCCGTATGTGCTCAAAAATCAAATCTCCGCATTTCTATGCAGGTAGGTAACCAGAGGCCAGGTTAGTATTTCTTGTGCATTCAAGAACGATCCGTTTTTCACTAGGACTGGCAGAAAATCCAAATTTCAGGTATCTATTTGCTTCTCAGGAGAAGCATTGCAGACGGAAATGCTTGCAAGTCTGGCTACCTTTCCGTACATGTACCTGTTATCTCTCTGTGTCATAAGGAGCTCCGATCAACAAACATTGCTGCCTACAGGGAGCTCTAGCTGCTAGAATGAGTAAATTTCGGTGCTCAAAAGGATCTAGCTAGACTACAGGATGTACTAGCTCGGGCATAGCCTATAAGCTACGTAGTATTTGTTAAACAAACCTGTGTCTCAAAATGAATAATTGTGGCGTAAGGTTGGTTATTGATGCATAGTCACATTTTTAAGTAGCTCGCCAACGCACCTAGCATTAGAGCTTTGCACATGTGAAAAGGCCTCTATCCACTGTTCCATCTGGTCTAGTACGTCTGTTTGCCAGTCCTCCAGAACTGAAGAATAGAGTACGAAGTGCTTCTCTAGTCTGTTGATTAGTGGGGTGGGGAACTCGTTGTACACAGTTGTCTTCTCAGCTATGAGGATTAATCTGAAAGCAAAATATAATGAAAAGCACTGAAGTGCAAACCCTCGGCACATTGTGACGCGCACGCGTAAGTAAACACATGTGCCGTACCACTAATTGATGGGCTGGGTTTAGTTTTAGCTGTTACTCGTGGTCTCTTGCCAGCTCGCGCAGAGTCTGACGCGGGCTAACTACACTACTAGATAGCATGCGAGAGGCGATACACGCCCTGCGTTGCATCTTCTGGTGCCTCTGAGGTACGCAGAGCACGCGGATCGATCAGACCGTGGTAAGCCATCCCGTCCGTTGCCTATTTGCATATTAGCTTTTTCGCGCTGTAGCTCTGCAACGGAGCAGTTTCAGAGAAAACGCCACATATTTTCTGACCTTCATTGCCCGTTCAGTAGGTGGTATCCTTTGTGAGACGTACGAACACTCGAGAAGTGAGATGACGAGTAACAGACAGACACACAGAGAGACAGACAGACCCAACTACCGTAACCCTCGCTGCGCATGCGCGCCGAGGGTTAATCATGGGATAGCAATAGTAAACTAAAGATGAAACTAACTTGAACTCGTCGTGGACACGGCACTTGACTTTGTGTGTTTGAAGTCCCAGATCAACATATCGGTTCCCTCCATGATGGATGTAATACTATAAGAATACAAGAAAAACCTCCATACACAGAATGACAAAAAGATCGTAGAGTGGTTGGCAAAACCTAAGGACCTGACAAACATACTATAGCAAGACATGTTTACAAAAAATATATGTGTAGCAGTTAATGTAACACAGAGAAAGTGCTATTGAAAAAATCCATATTTTTTTGTCCAGTTGTCCCATTCTGTCACACACGCTGCTTTCACCATACCATAATGTGTTACATTATACATAAAACAAGCTGCACTCACATTTGCAGATATATTTTCTATTGTGGTGCCTGTTTGTTTTCGGTCATTGAAGGCACAAGTAGTCACACTGAAGGGCATGCATTGACTCCCGCATGCTATCTACTACTGTAGCTAGTCCGTGTCAGACTATCTGTCAGCTACTAGCGTGGAGACCACGAGTAATGCACACTAATAGCCACGACCATCAATTAGTGGTACCGCGCATGCCGCAGTTTGCCGAGGGTGTGCTCTTCATTTCATATAACAGTTTAATTTCTTCTATTGTCTAGTCTAATCCCTACTAGCGGTATATAACGTATTGAACTACTAACAAAATTTGTTTCGTCTGTTCTTTCGTGACCTTCGTTTAATAAACAATTTATAAAGAAGAACCTTGTTTTCAGAGGGTACATTTACTAGTAAAATGTAGTAGGAGAAACTAATAAATTAATAATCACCGAAAAACTTCTATGTGTTTACATTTCGAGTGGTGTATCTGTAGGTGTTTACCTGGTTAAGAACATCATAGAGGCTCTCGTACAAATTCTCCAAGTTCAGCAGGATGACAGTTCTACCAATCTCCATACAAATCTTGATCTGGTTAATATTGCGACACACCTACGAAATATATATATTACCCTGTTAACTTACAATTATGAAAAGCACTAAAGTGCAAACCCTCGGCGAACTAGGGATGCGCAGTACCGCTAATTGATGGGCTGGGCAGCTATTAGTATGCGTTTACTCGTGGTCTCCCGCTAGTAGCTCGCAGAGAGTCTGACACGGGCTAGCTACAGTAGTAGATAATATGCGAGAGTCGATACACGCCCTTTGCTGTGACTTCTTGTGCCTTCAAGATACAAGGAGCAAGCGGACCCGGTCGAATATAATGCACATGCGCATTTTCCGCAGCGATAAAAATGGGCGACTAGCATTAGCTGTACAATGGCGGAAGCGCTCTAGCTTCGCAACAGAGCGTTTTCAGAGAAAACTGTCCGATCGTTCTGACCTTCATTGCCCGTTAAGTAGGTCGTATCGTTTGTGAGACGAACAGACGTTCGAGGAGTGAGATATAGAGTAACAGACAAACAGACAGACAGACCCAATGAAAAGCACTGCAGTGCAAACCCTCGGCGCACTGTGACGCGCACGCGTAAGTAAACGCATGCGCTGTACCACTAGTTGATGGGCTGGGTTTAGTTTTAGTGGTCTCTTGCCAGCTCGCGCAGAGTTTGACGCAGGCTAAGTACACTACTAGATAGCATGCGAGAGGCGATACACGCCCTGCGTTGCATCTTCTGGTGCCTCCGAAGTACGCAGAGCACGCGGATCGATCCGACTGTGGTAAGCCATCCCGTCCGTTGTGTATTTGCATATTGGCTTTTTCACGCTCTAGCTTTGCAACGGAACATTTTCAGAGAAAACCGCCTTTATTTTCTGACCTTCGTCGCCCGTTGGGTAGATGGTATCGTTTCTGGGACAAACAGACGTTCGAGGAGTGAGATATAGAGTAACAGACAGACCCAACTACAGTACCCTCGCTGCGCATGCGCGCCGAGGGTAATAAAGCAAGAACTAGTAAATCTTTGTATACACAAAAGGCACAATTACACCTTAAGTGGGGGATTGAACGCTGGAGCAAGGAGTGATACTTAGTGTCGCAAAAAGCTTGTACAGGTGCAATTATATTATAGCACACCTGGAATTTGCACAATGATGATTTAGCTAGCTGTAAAAATTGGCATGAAACCTACCAGCAAGAATCGAACCCAGACCATCGGTCTAAACTGCACTTGGGGACGGTTTACCACTTGGCCAAATAGGCGGTCTGCACAACTTTGCAGTCATTTCTCTACTAATGCCGTGTGTGTCCGTGCAAACTCATGCGCGTATCACAGCTGACGAAAACGCATGCGTAATGGACAGGCCACGGTAAACAAAGTGCACTATTCAGGTAAGCGATTTTAGAGAAACCCCCTATCATACTCAATAAGCTAGTGTCCCTTGTTCCATGTGCCATAGCGCAAAATGCGAGATTGTGCGGAGTGTGCATACAGACTTACAAACCAAGTAGGCATAAACCCCTCTAGTGCATGCGTTCCCAGGGTCAATAACTGCACAGTGCGAAAGACTCTACTAATGTCAGATTACATTACAGCAGTAATCAAAAACAGACTAACTGTTCCGCTGATGTGGACAAGCATACATTAAATATAGCTACGGCATACGCAAACATGTGGAGGATGGTATATGTCTGCCAGCAATGGATAGATTCCTCAGTCGCCATGTGTCGCATAGATGGAATGTATGTTTATAGTCACATATTTATTTTGAATAATCTATTTTTAACATTTCTATTTCTACCATTTCTACTATTGTTTATATTATTTATATTTTTCTTACACGTGTATATGCTGTGCGTTATTTAAAGTAATCGACAGAACTATTAATCTTATTTTAGGAGTTCTATTTTTTCTATTTTTCTTACACGTGTATATGCTGTGCATTATTTAGAATAATCGCACGTTTTTTTATGTCTCCGTCGTGTCGTCGTGCTGCGTGAGTTTCAGAGTTTTTATATTTTTCTATGAGTTTATTGGTCCTTTGAGGCTTTCTATTTTTCTACCGGCTGTTGTTTTTATCCTGTAGCTGTCGTTTTTTGTACATGATTTCTATCTATTTATTTTATAACTATGTGTAAGGGAGGTTGGGACACTGGGTGTGTAGGGAGAGTTGGGCCCATAAAAGACTCTTTAACCTACCGCCCCGGTTCTCAAGGCTGGGCACCCAGGGTCCTGCCTCTTTCTTTCTGTTTATATGTTATTGTCTGTGTTTTTGTACGCTTGGGTATGTTATTGTCTGTGTTTTGTGTGCTTGGGTGGGGGAGGTTCTTTCTTTTCCTCTGAGCTAGTATGCTATAAACATGTTTTTTCATGGTTCAGTACTGCATGTATGCATTATTGTACTTCACAGTTTTGGCATAAACTTTATTGAAGTAACCTGTGTGTACTCCTTGTCTTTGGGGAAACTGCTGCCAAATAGAACAAAAGGCTCCATCTCCCATGGTTTCATAGAGGACTCCACTGATTGGACACTGAGTAGAGGGTGTCCCCCTTCCTGATCCTGCAAGTACTGCTTCAGAATCTCCAGTGCTGCATAGTTCTCCGTCAGAAATAACAGATAGCGGTTTTCCCTGTCAAAAAATAACAGTATAACAAGTAAATAAAAGATTCTGTGAATTAAAAAAGTGTGGAATATAGGGATGCCATAAAAAGCAAGGAGACAAGACAGGGATGACCTGGGCATGTGATGCAGAGTACAATGGGGTGATTGTTACATCTTCAAATTGACATTTCTTGTTCATGTAAATTTTACTCCACACAAGCCCTATATTGTCGCCACTCTTACTCATGACATGAGTTTTGAATAATGTAGTGTGAAGACTGGCAAACAAATTCTGTAGGGAAAGCAGCATTGTAAAACCGGTTAGTTGAGCAAACATTGAAGTAAACACAGTCACGATTCAAAACTGAGGACCTGTCAGAGAGGGCATTTGCTACCAGTCTTACGTGCATAGGAAACGAGTCATAGCTGCACATCATATGATAGAGATCACTCACGTGTACCAAGTTTCATTGTTAAGGACCCACAATAAGCAAGTTACAGGCACAAACATCATTTACAAGTATTCATTGCCTGAGGCTGTTCGTTGTTGTTTACAAACTTGTAATTTATGTTTCGATGAACTCTTATCATGGAACATGCAGTGTACCAATTTTCATTGTTAGAGGTCCCACTATAAGCAAGTTATAGCAGGGGTGCAAACTAACATTTTTCCCAACTGGCCAATAGGGCTAGTAAGCTCTCGATTCTACTAGCCCAAATATTTATTGAAGGCACAGAATCAATTACACATCATCACAAACAGTGTCTTCATCTGACTGTCTAGGTTTTTTTAGTTGGAGGTTCCTGTATCCTCCACATGGTTGTCCAAAGCATGCACACCGCGTGCACTTGTGTAAACTACATAGTACGCATGCACGAAGATCAGACCCTGCCCCCATGCGTCGCGTATTCGATTGCTAGTTCGCTGCGGCGAAGACGCTGGCTCACGTCTACTATATACCAAACTGAACCACGCTATTACAACTTAACTTTGCTATTACAACTCCACTAAGTCTGTCAAGTGTCTCTCGCCAGCCGGGCGAACGTTTTAGGCGTTAGCGCCCGTCCGCGCAGTAATTTACCCGCTGCGGGCGGGCGAGTGCTAGTTTGAAGCCCTGTTATAGGCAATAATATAGTTTACAAGTTTTTATTGCCTGAGGCTGTTCGTTGTTGTTTACAAACTTGTAATTTCTGTTTCGATGAACTCTTATCATGGAACATCAGTGTACCAATTTTCATTGTTAGAGATCCCACCATAAGCAAGTTATTGGCAATAATATAGTTTACAAAGTTTTATGGCCTGAGGCTGTTTGTTGTTGTTTACAAACTTGTAATTTCTGTTTCAATTAACTCTCATCATGGTACATCAGTTTACTAAGTTTCATTGTTAGAGGACCCACAATAAGCAAGTTATACGCACAAACGCATTTTACAGGTTTTTATTGCCTGAGGCTGTTTGTTGTTGTTTACAAACACATTTTGGTACTAATGATGGGTTGTATATGTGTACACAGTTTTTTCACTCTGGGTATTAGCTTTATCCAGTTAGCACACTCTATTTGTCTCTATAATAATGTATTGCCTGGGGCTATTTGTTGTTGTTTACATGTAAACAAAATTGTTTACGAAGAAATATAAATGCTCTTGCACGACCTGTCATGGATTCCAATCTTTGCGCAAAGTTTGATCTCCATATTATCTTAACTCTTTTTTGAGATACGCTTGTTGAAACTGAACAACAAGAAGAAGAAAATTGAAAATTGAAAATTGAATAAATCAAGTACCGATTATGCTATTTAAGCTATTTCTTGGATACATGCTCTTTGTGACGATACAAATTAGTCTGATGTGTCAAAAGTTGGATCTGATTGAAACTGAAAGTGAAACATGAAAATCTCAAATGTATGGGCATAATGCAGGACAACCTGTACTACCGTACTTAGTGATAACAAAACATACTACTTGAAACTATTACTCATACCCATGCCAAGAAGTCTCCTTGGTCTTTAGACTGGTCTTGATAAGTCCACGTTGAGTGTTGTCAGGACTCACAAACTCTCTTACCTATGTAGGCATCACAAAACTTACTCATAGATACCATTATACCAGAAATTTGTTGGTGTATTTTAATGGTGCACAATTTAGGTGCGCACTAATTACTTATATAATGCATCATCCTCATGTGAGTTACCTGTACAGGGCTTTAGCTGCTTTCACTACCCAAGAATGTATGTAGATGAAGTGTAAGACAAATACATCTTTTGCTGATGCGTTAAGTGGTAACTCATCACATTGTTGATAATAATAATAATACTCAGGTGGCTGCCATAGCACTAGGGCCATAGACCACGCACCCAGAGCAATGGGCGGAACCGTTAACAAACGAACATACACCATATGAACATGAGGTGTCTGTCTCACCTCCCAGACACCTCAACTCACCCCTTCCACCAGCGACACCCTGCAGCTCCCCAGACACAATCTGAGACTGAGTTTGTTCTACGCGAGGACTATCGCCGTATAACCTAACCTTTCTTAGCTCACAAACATCCGAAATAAAATCTTTAACAAGGAAGCAAAGAACTAAATTTATCCTCCCACAGCTCACTACCCAATATAAAGGATGCTTTCCTGAAACTATGAAGCGACTGGAAATGCTCAAACCCATCAGCCCCAAGCTTCCCCTGCAGGGCAACTAAGAAATTGCCCCTAAGACTACTATATGCTGGACACTCCCACAACACATGACTCACACTTTCACACTCATCATCACACAACGGGCACTCCTTCACCCCCTCCCTCCCCCTATGCCTACCCAGTTCCTCATTTAGCCCATGCGTGCCTGACCTGAACTTAAACATTAATCTAGACCCAGCATCACTATTCCCATGCAAGTACTTTTTTGACTCTACCACCTTATTAAATGTCTTATACAAACAATAACAGTTTTACTTTGCTATTTAGCCCCTCTTCAAACTTTCTAATCTCCCTCTCATTAATACTGTCCCCTACTATAGACAAAAAGCCCTTCAAGGAGCAATCCCCATTTTGAATATCATGCAACCACTCTGCCTTGTCAAGACCTAATGACGAAAAGATATCATCAATGACCTTACTCCAACACTTCCTCTGCCTGCCTCTCCGTGGCTTAAAATTCCATTCCTGACTAAAAAGCTTCTTCGGATACCTATTGCTTGGCAATGCCGCTAACTTATACCACCACTTCTATCCCTACACCCTTGTAACGTATCAAGCCCCATATCCCCCCTAACGGCTTCATTACATATCTTAGACGAACACCCAAGAATACGCTTAGCTCCTCCCAGCATCACGGACTCTAATGCAGCTGCCTGAGTCTTATTGGCTTCTCACACCTCACCCCCATACTCTAAAGTTGGCTTAACCACCGCCAGCAACAACAACCTGCAAGCACTCAAATTAATATCCCTATTACTAATTACACTATGCAACTGATTAACATTCCTTCTACCATTGTCTAACACATTCTTGATATGCACATCCCATGCACCAGTATTAGTATAATCAACATCCAAGTATGTGTATTTAGATACTCTAGGCAAAACATACTCCCCCCATTTCCAAGCACCATCCACTGATTCCCTAGCGAACACCATCACTGCACTCTTACGAACATTAGCCTTTAGCCTCAATTTTCGACAGTAAGCATGCACCACATCTATAAGCGTCTGTAACTGATCCTTAGACTGACTAACACCAACGAAGTCATCTGCAAACAAAAGTCCTCCAAGTCTCCCACCACTACTTAAATCGATCCCAATCTCAGCTTCCTCCACCTCCCTCAACAACCCATTGATAAATACGGAAAACAAAATTGGAGATTGGCTACATCCCTGAGCTACCCCCTGTTCCACATCAAATGCCTCTGACCGTTCCCCATCCAACAATACAGCACTCTTTGAATACTCATACATCTTCTTTATGACCCTCCACATCTTCCCTCTTACCCCAAACTCCCACAACTTAAACCACAGGCCGTTACGCCACACACTATCGTATGCCTTCTGCACATCTAGAAAGAATGCATATGTCTCCTTCCCCTCCTTTAGTCTACCCTGCACGAGTTCATTCAGCGTATAAATATTATCAACACAACCCCTTCCAACCCTAAAACCAGCCTGGCCCTCATGCAATGCTTTGCCCTCGTCCAGATGCTTCATATTGTTGATACTTTATTGTTTGAATTCTACTGTGCCAAGGAAATTTGTTCGAATTTTTAGCCCTGGCTTAAATGTTGTATATATTCATAATGTAGGGTCACATACATTTCTATAGGAGCAGAAGAGAATTTAAAATTCATGCAAGCATCCTCATAATTATACATGCGTTGCAGGTGTTCTACGGTGTTAGTTTAAAAATTGGTGCAGAGCCAAAAAGTTCCTGCTTGTCCTGTTCCATGTTCTGGCATCGTAGAACGCACGCAACCCAATTGCGCATGTATGTGGATATGTGCACAACTTCTATATATGCCTACTCATGTAGGAACCCGAACTCATGAATATATTATTAACCTTGGCATAGTAGAAACCAACCCATGAAGTTTAAAAACATGTGGTGAGGTACCACCAAAGGCAAGATATGGGCCTAGGCTGCTGTCCATGTTATGCAGCCAGTAGTGGAAAGACCAGGTACAGCTGCACCATCAGTATTACATCAACCCCACAATTAAAGCCGCACACACGTAATACATGCAACTTTAAACAAAATCGCAACATTAAGTCTACAGTATTATACAGGTGCGATTCCCTGTGCAACTGGTGCAGCACGCCAATAACCATACTGAGCATCCTTTCACACTACCACCCTGGCGACCATGCACCTAATACATAAAGAATCATTCCACTTATAAAGATATCTATATACCGGGTCACCACAGTATAGCAAATCTCCTTATTTGCATCATGCTTATAACATGTAGTATCGGTGCTTACTTCAGGATCAATGTCGCTTAGGTCCGGTGCTTCATCTATATTTATTCGCAGCCTACTTAAGAACACCGTCTCAGGGTTCACCCCACTCTCCTCCAGCCCTCCAAAGTTCCTCTTGATGGCATGGACCAGCTGAGGTCCAGTAGGAGGCATGTTGGTCTTCTCACACATCCAGTAAAGCATTTTTATGAGACTGTGAGGTGGGAGAGTAAACTGAATGGCTTACACTCTCACATTATGAACAAGAGAATTAGAGTGAGGGTAAGGCTTCTTATAGTTTTATATCTGCATACACTAGGAATCATGTTTTATACATTGAAATTGACTGAAACCCAATACAACACAAATGCAGGCATGTAGTACGACACAATAGTTTACGTGCGTTGTACATTTAAAAATTGGTGTTCAGAATGGGTCAATGAAAAGCACTAAAGTGCAAACCCTCGGCGAACTGTGCATGCGCGGCACTGCGTTTACCCGCGGTCTCCCGCTAGTAGCTCGGGGACTGACGCGGAGAGTCTGACACGGGCTAGCCATGGTAGTAGATAGCATGCAGGAGTCGATACACGCCCTTCGCTGTGGCTTCTTGTGCCTCCAAGGTACACAGAGCAAGCGGATCAGGTCAACAGCATATCGCGTGCGCGTTGATCGCGTCTAATACACGCATGCGCACCACTAATTGATGGGTTGGGCAACGCTACGTGGTCTGGGACTGTGCCAGTTTCTCGCGCTCGAACGCTGTCGTTTCAGAAAAATCACCATTTTATTTTTCATGCGCTTGTAGCACTGAAGCGTTTGGTATCGCTCTTACGTAGGCCGCCTCGTAGCCTGTAGTGCGAGAATAGTCGTGGACACACACACACACACACACACACAGACCAATTACTGTAACCCTCGCTGCGCATGCGCGCCGAGGGTTAATTACTACATTGCCAAAATGGGAAAAAGAACTAAGTGCATATAACCATGTGTATGAGTCCCAATACATACACAGGTCAGTACCGCTAATTGATGGGCTGGGCCATGCTATTGATTCACTCGCTAGCTTGCTGAGAGAGGTTTCCTACACTAAGTAAAAAGCATTTTAGGAATTGTAAGATTCGATATTCGCCAAATTCTGATGCCGCCTCCACAGTGCACAGAACAAGAGGAACCACATCGAGGTAAGCCAGTGTTGTTTGCACTAGGTTTTCACGCAATAACTGTATCTCAAACACAAGGCAGTGTAGCACGTTAGTATTGCTCTTTAGCTGGTTTGTTGTGTGTGGTGGAAAAACTGGTAGAACACGGACAGACAAACAGACACACAGATACAGGGAGTCACAAATCAAGTAACCATCACAGCACACAAGCACAGAGTGGGTTAATTGTGTACCTGTAAAAGTCTCTCAGACCAAAGAACTGTCTGTTTTGGTTCTCACAAATCTCGTGATAGGCTTTTGCCAGGACCCGAAAATAATCATTGAGTCTGTCTTTAACCGCATCACTTTTGTCACTGTGGCAGATTCCCTGAGCACTGAGTACCAGCTCATCAATGTCTGGGTCCCCTCGAGTCACCATAACCCCACGATTCATCTTGGCTGGGTCCAGCGCCCAGTTGGAGATCCCAATAAATGCCACCCTCTTCTCCCTTGCCACAACCTACACATGCATGAATCAGGGTGTAAATACATGGCATGTGCATAAAACAATTCAATTACACCTAGGATAACAAAGAAAAACAGCTGTCCAGTAGGACTCAAACCCACGACACTGTTCTCAAGACACTAGAGAAGTGCTCTACCATTGAGCTAGTAGCAGGGCAACTCAGCAGACTGGGCTCAAAAGTCGCAATGCAACACTACACAAAGCAAAGGATAACCCCCAACTCTTTGCTCAGAAACCTGTTACTTAATATGTAGGAGCAGACTAGGGTAATCAAAACCACCAAAGACGCCAAACTTCAAAATATGACTTTGTTGTAATCAATAATGACCTCATCTCTGTCTTCGGATCCTTCAGTTCCATCCTCTAGTAGAGGGTGCAGGGCTTTCAGAGGGAGGTTGGGAGAGTCCTCTGCCAGTCCCACCTCATCCAGCACTACCACTGACACATACTTGGTGGTGTCCTGGTTCCTCTGGAACCTCTTGGCTGTGTTGAACACTTCTATCACACTCTGAGGAGTGGACAGTTGACTGCACTGGTAGGAAAACATATGCACCTGGACAACAATATGAAACACAATGGCTTTAACTGTGAATGGGAGATTCAAATACAGACTTGTTTAAAAGACTTGAGGAGGTCATTGTGCGAGGCCTGGCCTCTCATGGAGTCGGCCACGATGGCCTTGGCCAGAGACTTGGAGCTGCCAGGTTTTCCCACCAGGAACAGAGGGATCCTCAGGTCCACACACACGGCCATCATAAACACATTCTCTCTCAGGGCAGCGTTGCGGGCAATGTTCTCCCCCAACACCATACTCTCCAGTAGCACTTCCTGGGACCTACAATAAGGGACATCCACCACCATACTGCATTGCATATCAGAGAAAAGCTAAGATATCTTACCATCTAATGACATTCCTAAACTCAGTCTTTCCACCAGAGAGTACAAAGTGGAGCAGTAAACTCATGAGCAACCTTACGCTCATAATCTTTCTGTCACTGAGTCTGGCATGATAGCAGACACTGAGAGAGAGAATGAGGGAGCGAGTTAGATCAGTGGTCACAGTTGGTGAAGTGACTGCAACTGGTGCTAAAATTGGTCCCTCAGCTAGTTCCACTTGAGCATTCACTTCAGCCTGTCCATAAGGTACAATGTAAAAGAAGCGTAAACAAAAAACAAAACTAACCTCTTCATTCATCTTTTTCCTGTTAATTGGATCTCTAAGAACACCCATTTTCTCAAAGAAGTAGATGAAAACAATCATTGCCCTCTCCACATCCCGTAGACTTACAAAACTGCACTCATCCTACGAATAGTGAAACAAGACACAAACTGCCATCAGTCCTAACTGCAGCTGACTACGTACGTATATATACCTTTCTGTCTCTCATATGTTTCTGAGACCAGGCCAGCACACGTGCTATGGCAGTTGTAATTGAACTGTTTTGCTGTGACAGTACAGCATGCTTTTTCACCTGGTTACGTGATAAAATGTCAGTCAGGCATGGAAAGGTAACAAAAACTCACATGGTCATGGACAATCTGAGTGGTATAGTCTCTCTCAGTGTCTGTGTTGAGTTGACCAAAGTCATAGACCAGAGGTCTCATACTGGGAGGGAGGTCAATCACCCTGTACACTAGCTCCCGCAGTGGGATCTTTCCTGTGGGAGTGAGGCGAACATGTTACACTGTACAAAGTCTGCCGTAGCTTCAAACCAAGTTTCTGTTGTGTGTCAGTTTCCCTCACATAGAACCCAAGCCCGGCAGAGCGTAGCTTCTTTATCATCTCTTCGGTATGCCTGTAGTAGCATACACCATAAGGTCACTAACAATGCATGTGAGAAACATACCTTCTGTAAGGGTTACATGCAGCAATGAATTTGAGGTCTGGTGACACAAGGTTACCATGGACTCTCCTGTCACACATGATCTCTTTTATCAGTCCAATGGCATCAGTAGTGTTGGCCTCGTCGAAGAAGACAACTGTGTCCAAGTTCTGTGATCTGTTCCGTTTGGCACTTTCTTCCGCCCGGTTGAGAAATTGCACAATATCATCCTCGGTTGTCCCGCCATGTACCTGGGTGCAGAAGTCACAGTGGGATTGCTTTAACAAGAGGTTCTACCTTCAAAATCAGCATGTTCCGGTGTCCACTGCCCTGAGAGGCAAGGTTGCACATGAACCTAATGAGTCTGGTCTTGCCACAACCAGTCTCTCCCATTATCACAACTGGAATACTACACCTACCAAGAGACAATCGAGCATAATGTCAGTACAAATCTGTACATGTCACTACATGTACCTGAATCTCATCTGAATGGCCAAGATCTTGATCAAGTTATCAACTGTTAGAACATATGTAGGGTCAGGGTCATAGGGCCACTCAATTCCCATGATCGTTGATATCTTGCTAATCATAACATCTTTGGGCCAGTGCCGGTAGTCTTCGGTAAAATTCACTCTCTGAGCCGCAAGTCCAGTGTAGAGCTGAGGAGACATGATGCCTCTCTCCAGAATACCTCCGCGTTGGGCTGGGTCACACAGGTCACCATTATTGGTCATCACAAACCCAACAAATGTGAAACTCATGCCATCATTGTTGAAGAACAAGTATGGGTGGGAGCTGTGTGAGACATAGGAGGTTATTATCTCTCACTTGCTCTCTGTACAGGTAGCTTGACTTCTACTAATATCATACCTGTGTTCCCACTGCTTTCTACCCACAATCTGATACTGCTGAAGAACATCTTGTGGTTCATTGGCTTCCTCATTCTCTTGTGCCACTTCACCTCTCAGAGAAGACGTAGAAAAATCCTAAAGTTGGTAACACAAGTTGAGCAATATAATGCACGCACTACTTGAACGTACCCTAGACATCCGAATCATGAACTTGACAACAAAGCTCTTGAAACCAGCAATCACATCACCAACAAAGTCAGGGTGAGTGAAGTAGGACCTCTCGCTGGAGTGCAGCTGGAGGTTGAGGAAGTCGACAAAGTGTCTGATCTCTGCCCATGAAGGGTCTCTGACACCACAGTATCTACATGTATACAACATAAAAAGGCACTAAAGTGCAAACACTTGGAGCATTGTGCATGCGCGGTAATGCTAATTTGATTGGCTGAGCTCCCCAAGTCTCCCACTTGTAGCTCACTGAGAGTCTGTCACGGGCTAGCTAGTATGCAGGAGTCGATACATGCCCATCATTGTGACTTCTTGTGCTTCAGAAGTACACAGAGCAGGCGGATAAAGTCTAGGTGATGTATGCATATTGGTTTTTTGCTTGTTTTCACGGCATATCTCTCAAACGCAGTCATTTCAGGAAAATTGCCATTATATTATTCAGGCTGCCGTAGTTCTAATGCTGTTGGTGTCGCCAAGAGACCACCTTCCATGGCCTGTAGTGCCAGAATAGCTGCAGACACAGAGACAGACACACACACACACACCAAGTACCGTATGCATGCACACGGAGTGTTAACAATACAGTTTTTCTCTCTCACTAACATGAGGAAAGTCTGTAAGCAGTCGTGTGGAGTCCCTTCAGTAGTTCCCCTGATGTAGGAGAATCTATCAAGATTGTTCCCTGCAGCATGTCGTCTCAGGTACTGGTAGACCCTTTGGAAGGTCTCGCTCTCAAACTCTTTCTGGTCCATTACCACTCTGTCTCCAAAGTCCTTCCCATCTCGTGACATGAGAGTGAAAGCCATCTTAGGTTTCACAGAGTTCACGGTTGGCAGCATCTCCAGCACTTGCAGTGTGAGGTGCTCAGGAGTAGACATTTTCTCACGTGTCTGTGCATAGAAGACTCCATAACCTACAAAACAATGTAAAAAGAGCATACCTCCGGTAGGGTGACTTCAATGGCGTAGAGTTGTGAAGAATGGTTCCTCCAGACACGACCTTGACTGTCACACAACCCTCGCTGGATGAGGAGTGAAAATAAAATGGTGTCCACCTGCCACAGCACCTGGTGGTTCGAGGGACATGATATACATATGTACCACATCACATCATCAGGCATGCTAACTAACCGAAGGAGAAATGTCAAAGTGGATTATGGTACATTCAGATGCATCTCCATGATGAACGAGACACTCCATTATGGAGTCATTGGTCACTACTGGACCATGAACAGGGATTGTTATGAGTGCCTTGTATCCTGGCATCAAAGCCTGGAGTTTTTCAACCATTCGAGAAATGAACAATGTCTTGCCCATTCCGGCTCTATTCGAAGAAACAACCCTGACACATGACCTACAGAAAAATAAATGGAAATACTGCACTTGAATCCTACAACTTCATACCCATTACGGTCCACAACCGAAGCAGGGAAATATGGGACACTGCTCATTCCATATAGTTCTTGGTATGACGGCTGATGTTCACTGACAAAATGATTTTCAAGATACATTCTGTACTTGGTGGGATCTGGAGACACTCCATAGGGCCTACGGTACAGATGAAGCTTGGATATAACTGTACTCTTCTCCTCATTCAGACCACTACAAATGATCACCAAGGAATATCCTGTAGGGAAAAAAACAATCATGTAGCTAAGTAAAGGGTAATCTGGTCGATTAACCTTCTCTTCCTTGTATTATTTCGGTGAGGGCTCGAAGGGCCTTATCAGCAGTCTGATAGGATAACTTCTCAGCATGAACGAGACAGAATATCCTCCTGAAACCTGGATCACACACAGCCCGCGTGCCACAGCAGATTCACCTAATGTAAAGTACAGCAACAAGCTGATGGCTAAAGAGGGTATACAACGATGGGAGATGGGTCAAGAAAAGGTTTTTAAGTAGGTAGCGTTTATGTGAATTGTTTGAGACAATCATAATTCTTGTTTGAAACATGTGGGACTGTAATGTTGCTAGCTGGCTCCTTCTCATAGCAAACAAAATTTCACCTCATGCTAACTTAACTGACATGTAAATGTATACACAGCCTTGTCTACTGCTAAAACAGACACTGCGGCGTATTTTGCCACATTTAACATGGTGCAATGGGGAAAACCACACAACAACAGGCAGATGTGCTATCACATTCATCCATGACGCAATGTGAGAAAATTGAGTCAACCTCTTCCGCAGTGGTGTTGTGGTTGCAGATGAGCATCTCCTCAGGTGTGGGCATGGGTAGACTGCTGTCCTCCATGTAGAGAGAGAGAGCAGCTCTCAGGACTTGGTCAGGTGGGACCACCAGCAGATGAGGCTGGTCTCGCTTCAGGTCACTCAACTTCCTCTTCCTCGGCACAGCAGCTGTGTAACAGCAGGTTACAGGGCATTACCTCCAAACACAAGTGGGGTATATACCAGGGAAATCATGGTTTAGCTGCAGGAGAACTGCACCAAGTTCTTCCAGTCCCAAAAATTTAGCCTGGACACTCTTCACTGAGATGATGATATCGTCACTTCTGGAAAGGAATGTACGACCACGTACACATGACATTAACAACTTTAACAAACCTAGCAATTTCTTGAGCTGGTGGTTGAGGTTTTTGTGATGTGGGTAGCATAGAAAAGCCACTTTCCTGAAATAGTGCTCCCATTTCCTGTGACTCCATCATGTGAGGGAAGGCATCAATGGCTGTACCGTACAATTCTATAGCCCTTATGCACTCTTCGACTGTGCCCATATCAGCATCTAGTAGCTCCTTCACCTCCTCATTCGTCTCATCAATGTGCTGCAGCTCTGTCACCACAACTCTGGCCTGGGGTTGAAGCGGACTTGCTGCTGGAGACTGGGATGGGACCACAACCACACCTGTACACAAGGAATTAAAGAAAAATTCAAAAACACTTGTACATCAGGAAACCTACTTGGAGAGCTGTCAGTATTTATTGGATGTAGGCCATCTTCTGCCTCAGAGCCCGACTCCATTTCCTCATCCTCGGAATACTCTGGCTCCTCTTCTATCATTTCCCCACCTCCACTCTCTTCAGACTTCAGGAAGGCCGTCTCCCATTCACCTGCATGTTCTTCCAAACAGTTAACTATGTCGTTCCAGTCTCCATCTGGAACTGCTTCAATTGCTTTCAGGGCTGTCATTTCACAGTATCCAAAGATTTCAAGTATGTCAGTGAAGAGAGCTTTTTGCTTATCGTTCAAGTCTTCTTGTGACAGGCTTACAAAAATAGGCAAGCTCGGCAGGACTTGATCTACATTAAGAGGCTTTTTGTCGGAAGCAAACTGGCTAGCTACAGGTGAGGGAGGCATGGGCACCAATGAAGGCGCTACTTGTAGGCTTAAAGTAGGAGCATTAGCTGGGATTGGTGAACGCTCTTTTTTCATAACTTCCAAAGACCGGTTAGCTACCTCTTGCACCACCTTAGCCAGAGCAGGGAGGGTTATTGCACTGGAGATGCTCTCAAGTAGTGCCATCACTTGCCCCCATGATGACTGATGTGGTCCGGAGATCTTCAACCTACCCAACTCACTGCGGAGGACAAGGAGCTGACGTGTGGTGTAGTAGTTTAGTTCATAGAACTTTTGTCGAGCTAGAGTAAGCTCTTTACTCCACCTCTCCAGTTCCTCCTCCATGCCCTTAGCCTGCTTCTGTAAGTCTCCACGAGTAGTGTCCGACAGCAGAAGTTCATTCTCCACCCAATGTATGTTACATTCCCTGCTTGCTGGAGTTTTATGAGTACTTCTGCTATCCTACACACAGAGTGAAGTGTCTGTGAGAAAGTATAACCCGTTTACCAGACATAAAAATACACATGGTTAATATCTTACATTCAAAAATTGGTCCACTGTTGCTCTGTTTTCGGCCTTACTTCCCGTGATGAGCACTAGTTTGCTCTCCAAGTCCCTCAGCTCGTCCAGACTGTAGCTGGTCCTCAGTAGCTTTTTCCCTGGCTGTGGTGTCAGTGTCAGATGAATCACATCATGGATAATGTCCATAGCTTCATCCCTCTTCCCACCAACAGCATACTCGCCACATATCTGAATGTTGTTCATTTGGCCAAATGAAGTCACCTCCACTGACGCCTGTGTCTCCTTTACTGACTTGTACCACTCCAGATCCTTATTGCAGGATGCCTGTAAATAGTCAGTAGCATAATATCATCTATACAGAATTACACCTGGCGTTATACCAGCATTTTAGGTAGGTTCTTGTCATTCCCATAAGCAGTCCACACAAACGAACATCTGGCAGAAAGTTCACGAAACCCGATCTCAGGTGTCAGGTTGTAAATGAGAGAGCTGAAGCCACTACCCACTGTACGGAGACTGGAGAGCCTGTCATTGGCAAAGTCATCCTCCCCGCCAGCAGCTGTCGCCAGAGCCACATTGACAAAGTTCTGAAGATCAGTCACATCTGCAGTCTTAATTTACAATGTATGCATAAAGCCTGAATAATTGATTAGACTGATAAAGCAGTTGGGAAGAGGAAAAAACGGTGGCGCCGGGAATCAAACCGGTTTAGCATTGAGCTGCATACCATTATGCTACCGTCAACGGCACGCCTATAGTGGACTAATACGCGAGTGCTGCATTATGCGAAATCAATGAGTTAAGATGTTCAATACCACAGATTTACACCTTTTGTTGTTGTACGGATCCATTCAACTATCTTCTGGCATTGGCAAAAAGTGTGAATACATTCCAGCTTCTCTCCTGTGAACTGCCGCAGAAACTCTCCGGCCTTGACCAACTCATCTGTGATTTCAGCCAACTTTTGGTCTTTCATAGAATGTGATATCTATTGAAAGAACATCGGTCATGTTGTAAAATACTCATTACCGCAAACCACTTACACCAACAAACAGTAGTCTGAGTCAAATGGCTCACTCAGCAACTTTTAACAATTATATAGAAATTTGCAAGCAGTTTGAACACTGAGATCAATTCATGCTAATATATACATGCAAGCGCTATAAAGCAGCCATGCACAAGTACATAGCAAGAACAAACTTTCAATAACACAAGGAAGCTTTCAAGCAACGTACAATATCTTACAGCTACAGATCTACATACTGTATACACAAACCATTCAGTCAGTGTGCTTCATTTGTATACACTAGGTCTTATTAGTCAAACGCAGAACACGTTCAGAGATATGTATGTACATCGAGTTTCCAAGTAGCGAATTCGAATGTCACACAGGCTTCCCACAACTAAAGTGGTTTTGACTTCACCTGAGCCCTCAAAAACTTGTAATAACCTGTTTTAAGTGTACATTTAGCACTATAGAGGCTTTGTGTGCATTTTCCCACTGCTATACAAATGTGTGGGACCCGAACTCATGAATATATTAGTAAAACAAAGCCTAGAATATTTTTCTTCTTCCTAGGCATAGCAGAATTAAACCTATGAAGTTTTCAAAATATCACCAAAATGTGGCGAGGTACGTACGTACCACCTAGCACGATCGAAATTTTCCTCTTATGATAAATGTGACACCTGAGGTTAGTTGCATGCCACATAGGAAAGTATGAGTAAAGTAGCAGTACTTGTATACACAGCTTACCCAACAACTTTTGTGGCTCAGATGCATGCAAATAGACTTTTAGTTAGAAAGCATAAAGGACTACACATTATTTACTTCTTTCAAAATCCTCTCCACATCTCTGAAATTGCCTCTTGAGAGCTTCAGCAAGTCTCTTAGCTTCAGAAAAGAGTTGGCCGCATTGCGATAACTACACAATTGCCGGTAATTTCTTATTTTCTCGACCGAGCGTAGAATCCAGCCATCACCGAGTTGGCGGTTTGTGCACTCATTTACACCATGAAACAAGAGGTTCAGTTGAGTGGTTAAGTCACTTTCCCCATACATTCCAAAGTGTCGGTCAACATCACCAAGAGTGATAGTCTGTTCGTACAGTTCTTCCAGTAGGCTCTGACACTGCTGGAAAGCCGGCTGCCACACGTCAGACTGAAGATGATTTACATCCAGGCTTGGATTTTTGGTTAGGGCTAGCTGTAGTGTAGCTTGCCATGTGGAATGAAAAACGTCACTGTTGAGTCTGTATGTCATCACGAAGAACGACTTTGCAAAAGTGAGAAGAGGGTGTGCCTTATTAAAACACACCACACTGACACCACGCAACTCATTTCTGATGCAGAGACTATTGATCTTCTGTGACCTATAGTTTTTCTGCAATTCTCTTTTAACCTCAGTAATTCCTGAGTAAACAAGTTAACGAGGCACAAATTTACGACCAGGGATTTAGAACAGATAGATGTACAGCTTGAAATACAGTCCAATTTACTTGAGTCACAAAAACAAAGGTTTAGCCGATGCACTGATACCTTGGCTATGCTGCAAACAGGAGAGGAAAACACTAAAAGCAAGCACAGGCCACACTCTTAAAACCAATGAACATGTCACAATCCAAATGCTCCAGCCCGCAAGAAAACACTATATTTTACTTCACTTCTTTGTGGAAATATTTTCGGACAACAAGCTTCGTCTGAAATTATTACTAGAATATTACTCAACTCTGGTATCAGCCTGGTGCATGTGGCTTATTTGCTCCTGAAGTGTTTGTCGCTACTACAAGCCTAACCTTTCTTTCCCTAGAGTATGTTGATCTGCATTATAATTATGCATCGCTCAGATGTTGAAAACCCTGATCGCCACCACATACATGAAAGTCTGTATGCAAGAAAGTTTTGACAGGAGAAAAGAAGAGATTATAGCAGCATCAATATAATTATGCCCCCGTTGATTGCTGTGCATTATTGCGCTGCTTCTAGTACTTGGGTTTGCTTGAACTGGTCCAAACATAAACTGTCAAAGAGACATTACTCACCTATAATATTATGAGGTACCAAGTGGGAACAAACATGTTGGAGGTGGCTAAGCTGCTCTTGAAATACTTCAAACTCCCCAAGTCTCAGTTTCACAAACGCGTGCACCCTGCCTTTAACCAACTTTTGCGTCTCTTTTCGTACTGAATCACACAATCGCTCCATCTGCTCAAGACGTCTGTTGATTTTTTCCAGCTCTTCGATTGTGATTTCTCCTGTGCTGAGTTGTTGGGAAACTAGTTCGAGCAGGGAGACTGCACAGGAGCATGCCAACTTGCAGCTATCAGGGTAAGCCATCCTTGGCCTTAGACGATCCACCTGCACAACAATAGTGGTAGTCTAAAACATAAAAACACACTGGAGTGACATACTGTATATCTTGATGAAATTAGGCCAGTAAGGCCAGCTCAGAAGGTCATCAAGCTGAACCGAAAATTTTTCGGAACTGAGATGAGGGTACTTCTTCAGAAAAATATTTCCATAGAGTTTACCAATTCTCTCTGACTCGCCAAAATTAGGAAGAGTTCCATACTGGAAAAAATAATGGAGAGTGCTTCATGATGCCAGAAATAATGCAACTTACATCTGACATGTTTTGGATAGCCTCAGTAGCTGCTTCCATGAAGATGCTGGATATAGTTGGATGAACCTGCTCCTCACCATCCTCCTCCAGCAGGTACACTAGGCCTATCTTGTTGCTCTTTGGAACCTAGGCAATATAGAGAGTGGTTATTGTGCGAAAAAGTGTACCTAACATGTATTTTCACCACACGTGAACAAGTCTGGTAAATGTTACACCCGCATGTCGTGTCAGTGTGCTCAGCGGGCGCAAGGAGAGCGAGAAGCGATAGCAAGCAGCAGTAGCAATGCTACGCTACAACGCTAGTGTTCTTAGCTTACTCTCAGCTTTAGAAACAACGCTCAGTGCTTGCTAGGCCTTTAGCTGCCACCATTTACTTTACTACGGTGGGCCACGCCCTCGCAGCATACCCCAGCTACGGTGCTCTATGGTCGACCGTAGATTCACCGTAGAAAATGTTGCTACGGTATCACCGTACTACGGCAGCGTAGTGGGAACTTTTGTTTGGCGTGTACTGTATCTGCACTTTTTGACCAGCTTGTTGTGCATGGTGGCAGAAAGTGTGGTAAAGTGGTAAAAGACAGACAGACAGAATGACAAGTAGACACAATTACAAACCAAGTAGGGTGTACATGGTGCATGGGCAAAAAAATCAATGTATTGACAGAATACTGGAACAGACCAACAGACCGACACACACACACACAAAGTACTTTAACTGATAGCTGTGCCTGTGCTTACAATGAAACCCAGACATACACACTTTGGTGCATGTTCTGGGCTAGACGAAACACACGAAATGTTTGCACCAAGCGAAACTCTATACGGAAATGGTACCCAGACATTCACACAACCTATTTATGTATGCAAACACGCACCTGCATCACTCGGCCTTTGATGACATTGGAAACACACGCATTCCAACTCTCAGAAACCTTTCTGTTTTTTGGGACTTCAAGGGACAGAATATCCCGCCAGAGCTGCAAGAACAAATACATCCACTAGAGGAATGCAATGTACTGTTGGTGAGCGACTGCGATCAGTTAAACAAGTAAATATAAAATCCTGTGAATTTTAAAAAGAGGTATAGAGGGATGGTATACAAAGAAAGAAAGACAAGATAGGGATGGGATACATGAAGCACGGTCATTGTGACTTGCGAGGGTGGATCAAAGGAGCCGCGCATACTTTTAGGATCCGCCCCCTAAGTTTTCGTGATGTGGCTTTCTACCGTGGCGACTGTACCGATTACACTTCCAGGTACATAGCTCGTACTACCTCACTCGCTGGTGCATAATACTCTCTGTTAGAGCGGGATTGCTAGCAAACAGGCTAAACCCTCCATGAGTAACTTTTAGGGACTTGAAATTTCCTGAACTACTGTTGATAGCTGGCTAGGGTCACTTGTCTACACTAATGTTAGTGGGTATCCCTTAAAAAAAATTGGTTTCTAACTGGAGCCCAGTGCACAGAAACTTGCAAGTATGCATGCCATTGTTTAAAGCCCATCTTTCCATTCAAAGGTGTGTGGGCTATGTCGCATTTTCCTAGCTTACATTATTTTTGATCTTACTCCTAACTATTAATTATGAAAAGCACTAAAGTGCAAACACTCGGCAAACTGTGCATGCGTGATACCGCTAATTGATGATGTGGCTATAAGGCGTTTATTCGTTTACTCACACTGGTAGCTCGCAGAGAGTCTGACAGGGGCTAGCGACAGTAGTAGATAGCATCCGTGAGTCGATACACGCCCTTCGTTGTGACTTCTTGTGCCTTCAAGATACACAGAGCGAGCGGACCCGGTCGAGGTATGTAAGCCTGTGCTAATTAGCATATTGGCTTGTTGACTTGGTTTTCACGCCATAACTCTCAAACGCAGCACTTTTACGAAAATCGCTATTTTTAAAATGAAGCCAGTCTAGCGCTGAACTCATTGGTGTCGCAATTTGGCCGACCTGTTGCGCGTGGTGGCAGAAAACGTGGTAACAGACAGACAGACAGACAGATAGACAGACAGATAGACAGACAGACAGAAGGAATGACAAAACAAGTACTGTAACCCTTGCGGCGCATGCGCGCTGTGGGTTAATTATGTGAGACAAAGCTGCTTGGCCAAGTTTACATACAGATAGCTGCTAGATGGAGCAATGCATGCAAACACAAGGGCCAAATATTAGTGGATGTACACATTGATGGTTATAATTAAACGTGTTTTATATATAGGCTCTGACTTGTTTTTGCAGTCCACAGACTAACTTACAATAAATTAGTCACAGATCTCAGTAACAAACTAGGTTTTAAATGCACCTTGTATGTATCATAATTTCTTTCTCCCATTCACACGGAAATTACCTACCTTTAACTCGACTGAGCCGTAGAGCATTTTCATTTGACTCTCTCTTTTATATCCAAAGGAGCTCCCACCCTCTCCAATCACACCACGCCGCTTCACCCACTCTTGGAGAGCTTTCCCACACGTTGTGAATGCCTTATCTATCTCTGCTTCATGGAGTTTCTTCTGACCAACAAGAATCTCCATTTTACAAATTGCATAGAGTAGCAAGGTAATAGACAACTTTATGACATCAACTTGATTGTCTGTTTTATGCAGTTCGGAGAGGAGCAGCTTCAGCAACTGTTGTGCCCCATTTGCAGTAGAAATACATATGTCTTCCCTATTGACACAGATGTAAATAGTAGTGCTAAAACAGGGACTGCAATGGGATCTTCTTAAGCCAAATTTACACAAAAATGTTTGTCGTTGTAAATGAACAAAAGACATTAAGACTATACTGGATAAAACATTCCACTCTCCTAAGTGTACTACCTAACAGACACACAAATCAGCACTGTGCAGCGCTTGTTGCACATCACCGGAAAAACAGAAACACCAGTCACTTACTGAACACTTTCATTCTTAACCTTCTCTTTGATAACTGTCAACCATTGATACCAACTCATAGCCTTGGGGAGAAGAGAATGAATAGGTAGCTGTCAATTTAGCCATGCACAAATAATAGTATAGTATGTCAAAAAAGGTTTCCATTTCCCTTCATTTCAAACAGATCAAGGAATATTAGAATGTTCTGTTCAATTCGCATGCGTACGTTTTTGTTTGCGAATGCAAACGAGTGCAGATCTCAGCTTGTCTTTGTTGCTAAAACAAAGCCTGATTTTTAGTGCAAACACATAATGGTAGAAAACAGTTGTTAAATGTTGATAAGAAGGAATAGAACAGTTTGTCACTTCTCTTATACAGAACGTTGCTCGCTTACGTTATACAGAAACAGGAATTTTTGGACACATACAATCACAGTAACTAGAGAGAGATTACATACGCTGGTACCCGAGCTATACTAATGCCATTCGCAGACAAGAAGGTTTCTGAGGTAACCGTCACTTGTAGGAGTACAAATTTGCTACACTGGCCTCTACAGGTTCCATTCACACACATATGTCATCAACAAGGAATGCAACTACACCCAGGACAGCTCTTTTACAAGACAAATTCTTTTAAGACTGCTACACATGCACATCTATAGAGTAATGAAAAGCACTGAAGTGCAAACCCTCGACGCAAAACGCGCGCGTTGTAGCTTTGATGTAAGCTACGTATATGGGCTGGGCCATGCGTCGTAGACGGAGCCAGTTTCTCGCCCTAACACAGGCTAGCTGCATCAGTGGGTAGCGAGCGGTTAGAGCAACGCTAGACTGCACACACACATCCCTCCACTATGCACTGAGCGGGTTAAACCTGGTCGACGTAAGCCATACCGATATTGGCTTTAGACACACTCGCTTTGCCTGCCTCATGTTTTGATCATGCACATACTCCGGCAAAACACTGACATGATGCGTGTGCCCCAGCATAGCCAGCCGGCGGGGGCGCGTGCGCGATCAAACACTCGCGTATGTGCAGTTGGTTATTTCATTTGTTTTCACGCCATATCCCTGGAATGTAGTCGTTTGAGGAAAATCGCCTTTTTAGTTCATGGTTTCGTAGCTCCGAAGCTGCTACTATCGCTCATAGGCCACCTTGTAGCCTGTAGTGCCAGAATAAGCGTAGACAGACAGACAAACCAAGTAGTGTAACCCTCGCATGTGCGCCGAGGATTAAATAACTGGTACTGTGTTTAGTGGACATTGGCCATTAATTACATACAGATGAACCACTCATTTGTAGCTGTTCTGTACATGAGAAATCCTATACATTTCTGCTTTATTCTCTTATTCTTCCTTACATGTGAATACACCAAGGGTACAGGTCTATGACCTAACATCCGAGTTAGGGACATGTGTGCAGGAACTTTTCCAAAGAGCACTGTAAGATCACCCTCAGGGCAGAGGTACACGAAGTCACACAGAAGTAATGGATCAGCAGCAAAATATGGTTCCAGCGGAGTGTAGAGACTGCTAACAAACCTGCAAAACAAATTAAAGCAGAATGTTCAATTGCCTTGTAGCATTGTTTGTTTCCTAAGTTTTGTCCTTCCTGTAGCAGAACGAATGCTTGGCGAGCGAACTGAGAGTTACAGCGGCATGCAGCAATGATTGCGAAATTTTAGTTATGCATGTGTGTATGTACGTAGGATATTACAGTAACAGTGGAAATGTTGGTAAGCATGCACAATTCAGATGACTAGGTAGGGTTGCTTCGTTCGCCTAGAGGGTGCTAACACTGGATGGTTCACAATTATATACCATGCCAACATACTCGCGTAATGCTGGCATAGAGAGTTTCTACTTGCATCAAATCATAGTAGGAATCCCATTCTTATGCCCACTTAAGCCACAGAAGCACAAGTGAGTCAAGCCTTTACCTTTTCACCCCTAATATTTTTTAATCCTTAGCACAGACACCAAGGGTTACTGCAAATGTAAGTAATACTTAAAGCACGGAAGGTATATAGCGCTGTACGTGAAATAAAGCTACGAGAGGAAGTGGTCACGAGGCGAAGCCGAGTGTTTTATGGCCTATCAAGACCTTTATGACAAGTACCTTTATGAGCGTACAGCACATCCCTTTCGCACGTTCTTTTCGTGCTTTAATTGATTTATTGTACCGTGGGCGAGTCAAACGCAACGACTGAATGTCAGAAAAGGAACCCGATTGTCGTAAATTGTACATATAGAGTAGTTCTGCAAATGCATTTTCTTACCCAGTTGTGACTTTTCTCCGCAGGTCTTTGTAGTCAAAATCGTCAGCTCGAGCACCAAACTCCCTTGAGATGTCGGTCGGATTACCAAACGGCTCACAAGAACCAGACAAGAAGTGACACAGTGGCACGACATAGAGCCAGTCCCAATAGGCATTAAACCTCATTGCAGCTTTACAGAGATGCAAAAGAGCTTGAGAAACTCTTAATCTATAGAAAAAATTTAGTTCGTGATGCATGTTTCAAGCAACAACATCATAGGTTAACAGGGCTCTCAAGTGAAAGAAATGTAACTGTACAGCTCGCTTTTATAAGTTTCTGTGCCCCCCAGAGTAATATGGGTTTGTCTTTCCATTGTACTGTGCAAGTAGTACAGGACAGCAGTTAGAGTCCAGCCCAGGGAAGCTTTTTTACTTGTTCATACTTCACTTATACATGGCAAAATATTATGACATGTTTTCTGGTGTCAAGTCAGAATGTCTGCCACTAATAGTACAGCTAGTTTCAAAATTCATCTGGCGAAATAGGCTGGGGGCACTGGCATGTAAAGGTATCAGAGATGGGCATAAGACACACTCTTCTTCACTAACGCTAAGCGCACATGCACGCAAGGGTTACAGCAGTACTTGGTCAGGGAACACACTAACTCAATGGATTTACGACAAAATAGGGTTTGTGTGGTGAAAAATTTTGTCAAGAGTCAACGTATGTGCCAACAAGCACATGCACCTGTACCGAGTTTAAGGTAGGGAGTCAAGCACTAACACAGATGTATCTGTGTTACTCCCTTGGCTCTTGGTCTAATTGTCACCTATCCACCTATCTCTATATAGCAATATTTAAGCTACACACGTGTTGCTCTGCCTAAAACGATTACAAGAAGGCTTAAAGTTTAGGTCCAAAAACCGTAACAATTTAGGCAAAGAATGAAGAAAAGCAGTTTGCACTTCAATTTTAGGTTACACACAAACGTTGAAGTGTTGCAATGCTTACCTGTAGCTTGTAACACCCAACAAATAGGTATAGTTGGGGATGATTTTGTTTTCCAGGTTGGGTATCACCCGGAGCATTTGGAGCAGTGGATGCACAAACTCTTCTCGTTTTAATTTGATGATGAAGCAATCCAAAGCACAGCATGCAAGGCACACGGAGGAAATAAAACGACAAAGAGGATTGACAACATTTTGCAGGTGCTTCGTGACCTCTTCGAGCCAACCTCTAAACTCCTAAAAGGGTGAAATTAATAGGCATTACTCTGTATTACACTCTTTCCTTACATCTGTTATATCAACTGCAACAGTTGTACATGGATTATGGGAGTGCTGCACCACCGGCTCGCTGTGCTGTTTAAATATATGTTTAACTTGTCTCACAAATTCATCAAGTTTGAAATCTGGGAGGATAGCCATCTTCAACGAGCAGAACTCTTTTTAATGGCTCCAAATAGTAGTGTAGGCACTTTTTTACCATTTCCTCAGTAGAGGGAGGAGTGAAGCCATCTTCTGTGGCAGTTTCACTTTGGACATTAAACAAATTTTTTAATATCCCAACTCCACCCTCCAAGACTCGGCCAAAAACACCCTTATCAATGCTTGTTAATTTAGGATACACAAAGAAGTCGTACTGATGATATTCGGTTCCTGCAAAAACCATAATGGTGCATTATACGTACACAGTAACATGGGCATAAACCTACTATTAAGATCAGCTCCATTGATCTTCAGGCACCGATTAGGGTCTTTGTCATAAGAGTGTTTTCCAGCAAATGAATGCAGGTACTCGAAGCAGTCATCTCCACTGACCATTTTTGGTGAGTACACAACATACTTATAACCCCATGTTGAACTGAGCAGGTTAGCACGAATGTTCAAAGTGCACACCATCTCACAAGTACCATCACCCAATTGCCTGCAATTAACATGTAAAAAAAGCTATCTCACACAGAGATGTGGAAAATACCTACCGATATTCTTTGAACTCTCCTACATCAGTATTCCATTTTCCAAGGGCAAAACATTCAAACCTCATGTACATACATGAGTGTTTATCCCACTCCCACAATGGCTTAGGCAAGATGCAGTGAAAAGTCACTGCAACCGATTTTTTAGCATTCAGCCCTGTCAAGGTATCTGTCATTTTCCTGTGGGTAAAAGCATGTTAGGCAGTTACATCCTACTGCCACAGGTCACTTACTGTGGGTGCTTCTTATAGTCATACTTGGGTGACTCTATCCGCTCCTTCTTTATGGCTGAAGCACTTTCAGTCTGAGCCGACGATGATTTGTCTTTATTACCAGGGCTGGGTTTGTTCTTAGTGCCAGGAAAGAGGCCTTCTGCTTCCTCTGGTTTTCTATAAGCCTGTGTCTGCAGGCAAAATTTAATTAACGAATATCAGTTACATAATGTAATGAAAAGAACTAGAGTGCAAACCCTCGGCGAACTGCGCATGCGCCATACCGCTAATTGATGGGCTAGGCTATCAGTATGCGTTTCTCTCGCTAGTAGCTCGCAGAGAGTCTGGCACGGGCTAGCTGCAGTAGTAGATAGCATGCGGGAGTCGATACATGCCCTTTGTTGTGACTTATTGTGCCTTCAAGATACACAGAGCGAGCGGACCTGGTCGAAGTCGCGGTCAAGGTCAGCCGTGCCGCGCATTTCGAACGCGTATAATATACAGCTAATTGATGGGTTGGGCCACGCAACTCAGCCCGCGACCGTGCCAGTTTATCGCTCTCAAACGCAGTCGTTTCAGGAAAATCGCCTAATTATTTTTCAGGTTTGCGTAGTTCTGAAAACGTTGGTATCACTCACGGACCGCCTCGAACCCTGTAGTGCGAGAATAGCTGAATAACAGACAGGCAGACAGACGGACACACTCAGACCAAGTACTGTAACCCTCACTGCGCATGCGCGCCGAGGGTTAATGATATTATCTTTACACTCTGGAAGCACTGAAGTGCAAAGACCTTCAACATGCTTATGTGTTATTATGCCATTGTGTTGTGAACGAACACATGCAGAAGTGCTGTTATATTATAGAAAACAGTATTTGTCACTCAACAGATAGCTGCAATGTACCAGAAAAACAGAGTTTGACCTGTTCGCACCGGCATCACTCCAAAAATATATGGGCATATCCGGGCACTTTTTGCCAGCCGGCAGGTACATACTTCTGCATTGTTAGACACTATTTTTTTGCCGGAGCCACATTACACATATAAATCCAGAAAAGGCCATAGTACAGTGGAGCACTATGGCGGATTGCCTACACAACTAGGGACAGGTAAAAACCTTTTGTGTTCGTCATGACCGAATATCTTGCACCCACTGTACTGTTAATCGACAATGTTGTCGATTCTGTTGCAGCTATGATCTTGTGCGTCGGGATTGATCTCGAGAGTGAAAACCAACTGCCTTTCCTGGATGTGCTAGTAAGGAGGGAAGGAAACCGTCTCAGGACATCGGTGTATCGGAAGCCAACCCACACCGACCGATACATCAATTTCAATTCCCACCATCATCCGAGAGTTCTGAGAGGCACGATCCAGTGTCTCAAGGACAGGGTGTACCATGTATGCGATTCAACATCAAGAACAGCTGAACTGAAACACCTGCACGGAGTGTTTGCCATAAATGGATATCCATTCCATCTGACAAGAAAGACCCTCAAATCAATGACGAGACAACATCAACAAGTGGAGGAAAACAAAGAACTAGAGAAAGAAAGCTACAAGCCACTTTTTCTGCCATACGTCAAGCGTGTGAGTGAGAAGATCAAACGGTTGTGCCATCCTTTGGGGGTCAGGGCTATTTTCAAGTCACAAAACACATTAAGGCAAATGCTCATGAAAGTAAAGTCAACCAGACCAGCTGAACAAAGAAAAGGCGTGATCTATGAGGTCCCCTGTGCAGATTACGACTCTGTCTATGTGGGTGAGAAGGGCTGATCCCTGGAGATCGGACTGAAAGAACACCGCTACGCTGTCAGGACAAGGGACTCTAGGAATGGGATAGCGATGCATGCATGTACCAACCAGCACAATGTGGACTGGGAGGCTGCTAAGGTGGTAGCATATGAGGAGCACCTAATCAGAAGAAAAGTACTGGAGTCCCTGCATATCAGAGAACAGTCAAACAAAAGCAACCTGGACAGTGGCTATACACTCAGCCCAATCTGGACGCCCCTGCTGACAGTTTATCCTCACCTTGTTTCCCCGTGACAGAATCTAGTCTCACGTCTGCTATGGCTCACGTCTTGTCTGTGTTGTCCCAGCCTGCATGTCTATTGTATTCTGGTGTTCTGTCTTTATCTTCTCACCTTGTTTTCACTCTTTCCTCACTTGGGCATACTTAAGGGTCAGTTCTGTAGTTGTGCTATCATTGACTGAGGAAGGTCTACGGACCGAAACCTTTCAAGATATTGTCAGTAATATTGCTACTACGATAAAGTTCACGATTAGCTCTGACAATATTACGTAGGTAATAATGGGCAACTGAGGACACAGATCCCGGATAAAACACTTCTGTGCATGTCCAAAAGATCATTCAAAAAGTCAGATAGTGAATGTGTGTACAGAGGCTTTGTCGAAACATCTTGAGTTAGAAAACTGACCTATTCAGGCTGGGAAAATGTGTGGAATAACTCTCACAGAGATATGAACTTTTCACAGGAAATATGCCATGAGGATAATTTGTGTGTATAATACAGGTTTAGTTTTCGCTGACCCTCGCCCCCGTGTCCTCAGCCTCCGACCTCTTCCCCATGTTACTCTCCCGTATTCCAGTTCCCTGTATTCCACCGGAGTCATGGCAGCCGAGCTGAACAAGAAGAGTCGCAGGTGCATGCTGACCGGCTCTTTGGCATTAAAACAACACCCGATTTTTAGCACAAGCACACGATAGGAGCATAGCGGTTGATGTTTTGATGAAACTGAACAATACGTTCCTTGGAAACAAGAAATTTTGTTGGATGCATACTGTAATTTGCTTAAAGCTGCTTTTAGTATTACAGGCCACTTGAAAATTCTGTCGTCGATATAGAAAAAGTGGCATAGCAACTTGATAACATCCTTTTCCACGCAATAACACCTAATTGCCACCTTTATTGCTACATTCAGTGACCTTGCACTCTCCGCTCACTCAGTGAACTTATTGGGTGAGAGGAGCAAGATCTTACTTCGGCTCAGATTCTCCGACATCGTGAACGTGCACAAACTTTGATATTACACACTTCTTGTTATACGATGTACTGTGGATACAGCAGTACACAGCACTTTTCGATCTTGCTAGCTTTGGCCTTCATTTTACTTCATAGAGGTATAGGAACCATCACCTGAGCAATATCCCTGCGATTTGTTTGGAGCTATTTTACTCTCCCTGCTCAACCACAAGAATGCTAAGCAGATTATCAGGAATGAGTCCCACAACCATGTTTACCCTACTACAATCCCAGGCCCTAGTGGATTTTCCCAGGGGTTTTCCCAAGGGTATTCCACAATGCTATTACTAGGTATTACCACATATTACTCGGTAGAGAAGGGCAGCAACAGCTGCACCTTTGCATATAGCTACCACTATAAATGTCAACCTCCAATAATGCAGTCCCACAAAAATGTTGGTTGTGTGTATATAGCAGTTCTGTAGTGGTCTGTAGAGGGAGGAACACACAAAGACTACTGTGCATTATTCAATAGTGACTTTCATTTTGGTGCACAAGGTTCCATACATGGTATGGGAATAGCTGGATTGCACTGCTACAGATGCTACAGTGCAAATTCTCAATATACTACAAATGGGTGCACTGCACCTGAGTAAGCACATTGCTAACATGCATGCATGTACCAAGCAGTCGAATTAGTTGTGGTCTCTCACTAACTTTCTGAGAGTCCAACACAGACTCGCTGCACTAGAAACAGTTTATTAGGCATTGTGAGACTAAACACTTGCCCCCGTTGTAACTACTGATGCCTCTACTGTACACAAACAGGCAGAATGTGGTCGACGTAAGCCGGTGGTAAATTTAATATCACTTGGTTGTCATACCATAACTGTTAAACATTGTACAAACAAAGCCGTGTAGCGCTGATCCCATTTGTATCACTCTTTGGCTGCATTGTTGCACGCAGTGGCAGAAAATCACGGTAACAGACAGAAGGAAGGACACACACACTTACACACAAAGTATATACCATAACCCTTGCTGCACAAGTGCACCTAGAGATAAGAAGCAGAGTTGAATGCTATTTGGTTTTTGTGTTCTGAAAGTCACACACGCTACAAAAAGAAAGCTTGAATCATCATCACCGCGAACCAGTAGGCATCCAACATTAAACACAAGTGTGTACAAGCACATCTATGCATACTTTCGACGTGGTAAACTAAAACACACCTCTAAATCATCATCCGAAGATGAAGAATAATGTTTAACAACAAGACTCTTCACTAGCCCAGGTGAACTGAAATCCTGCAAGCTTTTCTGCTGTTGATCATCCTGCTCCTCCCTATTATGCTTCCGAGTTATTCTTCTCCTCTTCAATTGAGAAGTATCAGGCAACAGGCCCCTTTTGTATGCCTGCTAGGGAGCAAGCATTTTAGGTATACAGTACAGTATTCATGCAAAGCAAACACCGATTCTTGATAATGTTTGTAGCTGTTAGAGTGTAGATGTGCAGTTTATGTGCAATTTAAACTAGCGTGAATTTCACATGAATCACCGCACTCACAAAGATTGGCCAAAGTTCAATCAATATCAACATTGAGCTTACCCTAGTTCTCTCACTGGCTCCATCATCTCCTCCACTATATCCACCACTGCCCCTCCCAGCACCTTGACCTACACCTTCTCCATCTTCACCTCTCCCAGCACCACCTCTCCCCTTACCCCTTCCAACACTATCTCCACCCTTCCCTCTTCCCCTGCCCCTGACACCTTTGTTGGTTCCACTTTCGCCCTCATGGACACTTCCACCAGTGGTCTCACTGGCCTTACCATGTGCCTCACGTCCACGACCGACACCTTCTCCACCGGGTGCTCCACCACCAGTGGTCTCACTACCCTTACCATGTGCCCCACGTCCACGACCGACACCTTCTCCACCGGGTGCTCCACCACCAGTGGTCTCACTACCCTTACCATGTGCCCCACGTCCACGACCGACACCTTCTCCACCGGGTGCTCCACCACCAGTGGTCTCACTACCCTTACCATGTGCCCCACGTCCACGACCGATACCTTCTCCACTGGGTGCTCCACCACCAGTGTTATCATCCTTGCCCTCATTCTCTGGAGATTGAAGTGGATCGTTTACAGTGGGAGACAGCTGTCGATTTTGTAATCTTTGTCGCTGTTCTTGTTCTTTTCTCCGGTCCTCGGCTTTCTGTTGCTCAGTTTTTACCTTTGCCTCCTGTCTCTGCTGAAGCTCAACTCTGCGTTCCTCTTCTTTCTTATGTCTTGCAATTTCCGCCATCTGGTGTCTAGTAGTCATCTTGCCACCTTCTTCTTGTCTTGGTTCTCTGCCTGTGACATCACTGGCATCAAAAAATTCCTCATTTCCATTCCCAGCTCCAGTCTCTTCAATTGGACTTTCGTTTTCATTTGCCTTCTTCTTCGCGCTATAAACTAGATTTGGGGCTGCACTGTCCTTATGAGGGGGGTTACTGCCATCGAGACCTCCTGAAGCTGTTGTTTCTTGTCCAGGTGGTAGGGCGGGTGACGTCCGCGGAGCAGCCGCAGCTGATGGAACTGCTGCATCACCAGGACTTTGCGTATTCCCTACATCCCCTGCCGGATCTCCTTCAGTTCCAGCACGTCTGGGTGAATCACTCGAAGATGCGAGCGCTCCACTCCCCGAAGGCTGGAGCGGTGCACGCGGTGTCCTAACACGGACGTCTGTTTCGCAGCCGGGGCAGTATTGCATCCCAGCCAATCTACCAGTGGGTAGCTTTAGACTGCAGTTTGGGCACTTCCAGCCCTCTTCATCCCCGGAGCGCTCGGCCATTCCTTCGGCGAGTGTGGAGCGCGTTTCGTGCAGTAGGCCGCTCAGCGCCACAAACGGGAAAGTCCCTATACACACGTAACAGGCTGAGACGCGCAGCCCATAAATGGTATTGTGTACAGCAGCAGTGCACAATCTGCAGTCTAGTCACACACACACAATCATTCTGGATGCTCCCGGTAATCTCGTGACTCAAATTAGCACAACCTTCGGCGAATTGAACTGCTCATGCGCGACACTGCTAATAGGCTGGGCTACAGTAGCGTTTACTCGCGGTCTCCCGCTAGTAGCGCGCGGAGAGTCTGATACGGTGTAGCTACAGTAGTAGATAGCATGCGGGAGTCGATATATACCGTTCGTTGTGACTTCCTGAGCCCCCAAGGTACACAGAGTGAGCGGAACAAGTCACCAATGCGATTAGCTATGCATATTGGCTTTTTCGCTTGTTTTCACGGCATATCGCTCGAACGCAGTCGTTTCAGGAAAATCACCCTTTCGCGTAGTTCTGAAGCCGCTGGTATCGCTAATCGCTAATAGGCCGCCTCGTAGCCTGTAGTGCCAGAATAAGCGTCGACACACACACACACACACGCGCACGCTCGCTCACGGACAGACAAATTGCGCACCAAGGATTTCGTACGTCGTCAAACTGCGTATGCTCCAGCATTACGCGCTTAGGGTATGGCGTGTAAATCAGTGTCAAAAATAGTACGCACGCGCGGTCGATGAGGAGGTCCGTCTACTTTACTGAGAGGTCGGTCCGCTTTACTATTAGAAGTCGGTGTACTTCAGTATTAGAGGTCGGTCTACTTTACTAGGAGGTCGGTCCGCTTTACTTGGAGGTCGGTCCATTTTACTAAGATGTCGGTCCATTTTACTAAGAGGTCGATCTACTTTACTAGTAGCGGTCGCTCAACTTCACGAAGAGGTCGGTCTATTTCACTTGAAGGTCGATCCGCTTTAGTAGGAGGTCGGTCCACATTTTACTAGGAGGGCCGCCAATATGGAGTAAGAACGGGAGCAGCGGTGGTGGTTGGCGCAGGCACCGGGCTACTACACTCGCCGTCAGTCCTCTACGCTCGTCCGCTGCAGTTTTTTCCGCGGGAGGGGCCCGCCCGTCACTCTAGTAAGGTAGAGACTCGGGTAGACCGACCTCCTAGTAAAGTAGACCGACCTCTTAGTAAAGTAGACCGACCTCTAATAGTAAAGCGAACCGACCTCCTAGTGAAATAGACCGACCTCTCAGTAAAGTAGACCGACCTCATCGACCGCGCGTGCGTACTATTTTTGACACTGATTACACGCCATAGGAAAGGGGGATGCTGCCTGAATCGAGAATTGCTGACTAATCAGAGGAAACGCAACACGCCAGGCTAGAACACCTCCGAAGCTGTCGAGAAAGGCGAATTGCTGCACAGTCCAGCGACGACTAGAGAGAGGTTCGCAATTCGCTGCGCTCTTAGGTAGCTACCTGACCGAGGCTGTATATTATACCTCTTTGCAATCTTCGTGGTTCTAAGGTTCAAGTTGTAAATAGGCTAGGATGGCTCGTGCAGATACAGTCATTGTGTGCTCGCTCCCGCTCGCTAATAATGCCATGCAATCGCCTACTAGTAACTAGTGGAAATGTTGAACATTGTTGGCGAGAGGGCGACCCAACTTGGAATTTGCCCGCGATGTTCGGGCTGCATAACGGTTAGCTATGCGCAGCCCGAACATCGTTATGCAGCCCGAAACATCGCGGGCAAATCTCAAGTTGGGTCCATGGCACTCCAAAGTCATGTGAATAATTCTAGCCACTCCAAGAGTGGATGAATCAGGTGGTACAAGGGTTCTACTAGAGCTAAGTGAATAAAAGGCTTGAGAAGATTGAGGGCATCGATAAGTCAGTACAGTGAAAAATGGTGCCACGATCAAAGTGCTTCAACTGCATTGACCAGCGTTAGTGTCCCCACATCACACAATAGTTTCCACAGTAGGCTCGCCATCTTTGTCATGGTCACCCTTTTTACTCGAAGCTACCATAAACAAATAGTAATAATACTCAGGTGGCTGCCATAGCACTAGGGCCATAGACCACGCACCCAGAGCAATGGGCAGAACCGTTAACAAGCAAACATACACCATATGAACTTGAAGTGTCTGTCTCACCTCCCAGACACCTCAACTCACCCCTTCCACCAGCAACACTCTGCAGCTCCCCAGATGCAATCTGAGACTGGGTCTGTTGTATATACGCTGGGATTATCCCCGTACCATCCTTAGCTCCCAAACATCCAAAATAAAACCTTTAGCAAGGCCAAGCAAAGAGCCAAATTCATCCTCCCACAGCTCACTACCCAAAATAAAGGATGCTTTCCTGAAACTATCAAGCGACTGGAAATGCTCAAACCCATCCTCCCCAAGCGTCGCCTGCAGGGCAACTAAGAAATTGCTCCTAAGACTACTATATGCTGGACACTCCCACAACACATGACTCACACATTCACACTCATCATCACACAACAGGCACTCCTTCATCCCCTCCCTCCCCCTATGCCTACCCAGTTCCTCATTTAGCCCATGCGTGCCTGACCTTAACTTAAACATAATCTAGACCCAGCATCATTTTTCCCATGCAAGTACTTTTTGAACTCTACCACCTTGTTAAATGTCTTATACAATAGCAGCTTTACTTTGCTATTTAGCCCCTCTTCAAACTTTCTAATCTCCCTCTCGTGGATACTGTCCCTTAGACAAAAAGCCCTTCATGGTGCAATCCCCATTTTGAATATCATGCAACCATATGCATTCTGCCTTGTCAAGACCTGATGACGAAAAGAGATCATCAATGACCTGTTGCCTGGCAATGCCACTAACTTATACCACCACTTCAACTTATTCTTATCCCTAACGTATCAAGCCCCATATCCCCCCTAACAGCTTCATTACATGTCTTAGACGAACACCCAAGAATACGCTTAGCTCCTCCCAGCATCACGGACTCTAACGCAGCTGCCTGAGTCTCATTGGCTTCCCACACCTCACTCCCATACTCTAAAGTTGGCCTAACCACCGCCAGCAACAACAACCTGCGAGCATGCAAATTAATATCCCTATTACTAATTACACTATGCAACTGATTAACCTTCCTTCTACTGTTGTCTAACACATTCTTGATATGCATATGCGCATCCCATGCACCAGTACTAGTAAAATCAACACCCAAGTATATATATGTGTATTTAGATACTCTAGGCAAAACATGCTCCCCCCATTTCCAAGCACCATCCACGGGCTCCCTAGAGAACACCATCACTGCACTCTTACTCACGTTAGCCTTTAGCCACCATTTCTGACAGTAAGCATGCACCACATCTATGAGCGTCTGTAACTGATCCTTAGACTCACTAACACCTACGAAGTCATCTGCAAACAAAAGTCCTCCAAGTCTCCCACCACTGCTTAAATCAATCCCAGTCTCAGCTTCCTCTACCTCCCTCAACAACCCATTGATAAATACGGAAAACAAAATTGGTAAGCTACATCCCTGAGCTACCCCTGCTCCACATCAAATGCCTCTGACTGTTCCCCATCCACCAATCCAGCACTCTTTGAATACTCATTTATCCATATGACCCTCCACATCTTTCCTCTTGCCCCAAACTTTAACCACAGGCCGTTACGCCACACACTTGCCTGCACATCTAGAAAGAATGCATATTATGTCTCCTTCCCCTCCTTTAGCCTACCCTGTATGAGTTCATTCAGCGTATAAATATTATCAACACAACCCCTTCCAACCCTAAAACCAGCCTGACCCTCATGCAATGCCCTAGCCCTAGGATCAGGATAATGTAGAAACAGCGAAGAGCAACACCCAGTTTGCGTTCATTAAGTTGGGTGCTAGCTGAAGTGCCTCTGAGTGGGCATGGTTGATGCATGTTCATGGCTGTGAGTGATTTGTGTGTGACTGGAAGTAGCTACACTCCAGTAATCTTTGTCACAGGTCAGTTTATGGAAAACACTCTACTCTAGATGGCCATACCACTTTTCTGGGACGTTTTCGATAAGATGTTCAGAAGCAGGCATATACATTGAGGACATTTTAGAGGTAGTTACAGAGGAGCACCATAGGTTTAGTAATGTGAATGCAGCTGTGCAGATAAGTGATTTGTTATGCTCACATAAACTTTTTAACAGCTACCACTCAACTCAACTACGGGGGGGCCAGGTATATCCTCTAGTATGGTTTTAGCGTGTGCAATGGAATAGGCTTGTATGACCTCATCCCCAGCTAAGATGATATTCAGGTATTGCTAATTACTGGTGATCAAAAGCCGCTTGTAAGAATTGCATGTAGCGGGGGTGACATAGTGAAAGGAAAAATTATAATTGCATCACTTGGCCAAATAATACTAGGTGACTCCCCCTGTTGTGACGATGTTTGCCTGGTTTGTAAAGCATAAAAGACAGCTACTGAGCTAGAAGGCTTACAGGCAGCTTAGAGTAATGACTTCTCTTTTGTATGCCAACTGTATTAACGAATACAATGCATAATACAATAATTTTATGCAAAATTTTATCAGCTACTGGTTCATTCACAGTTCTGATTTCCAAGCAGTTAGTAAGCAGACTCTTTGGTGTGAACAACTCGTCCCTGTGCTCTTCCAAACATTTCAAGGCCAGGAAGCAGGTGCTGTGCAGACAGAGAGCGAATAACTCCTTTTACCATAACCTGATGACGTCTGGCAGAAAATAAATGCAGCGTTTTGTTGGTAGTTACACCAGATTAAAATCCAGTACTAATATTTCCGCCCATTGCTCATCATGTGTGGTCTATCGAATCATTCCTTTCGGGAGATTGGATCCACTACAAAGTTTCAAGTCTCTTTGCAAGAATGAGAAAAATTCAGAGGAATGGCAGCAACTGCAAGCCGAATTTTGTCTCCATCTCAGACTGCCACTCCTACTACTGCTTCGGTACAGAACAACAACATGCGACATCAGCAAGTTGCAGTACAGAACAATGTGCAACATCAATGTATCGCCAGTAGCAGCCTACTTGCTCTTTTTCTGGGAACAACTGCACTTTCAATATCATCTAAGGACCACAGCAAACTCTTTCCACCAGGAAGTGACTGCTTTTAGTAATGGAAACTGTCTCTCAAGAAGTTGGTATTAAACTAGAAAACTGTCGATGTTTTTGTAGCATGCGCTGTGCATATTTTGCCCTGATACAGGGCGTGGCAGTGCTTTTGATCAACCCATGCACTCCATTACTTTTTAATATGGGGATTGTAAACACTGGTATTGCTGTCTCCTTACAATGCATTGTTCCTTTCATCTCATGGAACAGCTTTTCCTGGATACAGCATGGTCTCCCTTGCCTCCTTCACCGAGGCTGTGCTACACACTGCAAAAACTGATGCCTGCGTCTTTGCACTGCTGTCTTCCAGGTCTCTGGGGTAGCCAGTTTGGAGTACCTACACTTTCACAGACAGCAACTGCTCGTCTCCCTTTAAGGCTTGACCTGCAATAGGAGCTGCTCCTCTCTCTCCCAAATGCATCAAGTCTGTGGTCATATATTCACTCTGGCCTTGCAGATTACTCCTGTTTGGAGATATGCACTCCCTCCAAGTCCAGTGTTGGACAATAACAGTGTTGTCCAACTCATACTCGTCTTGGCTCTTTACGTATCCCCTGTTGTTGTTATTACCATCATACCCAGGTGGGAGTTGCTGTCAACCATTACAATCAATTTTAGCTGATAAATGCATGGAACACTTGTCTAATTGCTCAGCCATGTTGCAACACTCATTACTTCAGAGCAAGAGACACAAACTCTGAGTTTTTTTAATCACATCTCCCACAGTGACATTTGTTGTTGTATGGTGCGTTTAATTCAATATTAGAGTGTACCAATATCATCCATGATGCTGAATGGTGATTTTTCTTTGCCATGCTGGGTTTGTCGGAGAAGGAAAGTGATCGTCGAACCTGTGCTATCAGGCCAGCTAGGGAATACTCATCTGTGTCACGTGCAATAACATTTCCTACACAGTGTTTCTCTGCAGGTGGTGTAAACACGATTATGCCATGGGTCGTACAGTATTATGAGGGTGAGGTGATTGAAGATTTGCAAAGCACCTTCTTTACACACGGCGTATAAAAGTTATAAAACAGTAAATCTATACAATACGTGAGCCTTTTCCTTCACTACTATCACTGGTTTTGACTTCATCAGGAGAAAAAAGTGAAGGAAGCACCAACATGCAACTGACACTCAGGTCCCCCTCTGCCTCCCAAAGTGACAGTGACTACAACCAATCATCAATCAACAGTTATTACCTCCCTGGGAGAGTCAGAATCGCACCTGGAACAGCCTTCAACCGCAGGTAAATGCCCCTTTTGTGGTACTGCTGGCTTCAGGGTTCAGATGTATACTATGCTCAACACCAGTAGTATGAGCTTTGTTAATACTACTTTAAACATTATACATTTCCAAGAGTGAACACAACACCCACTTTGAGGTTCTGTTCTGGCAGTGAATTGTGCCGATGATTACTGACATCATTATAGGTCTGACACTGTGAATCATGCAGCAAAACATGGTTGTCTTCTCTCTCCCTCAGCTGGCTGTGGTCCTCCCTGAATGAGAGTGTTGAGTTCACCAGTTCCAGAGTAGGAGCACAGGTCACCTACTCCTGCGACACCCACCTGGTTTTTGTGGCTCTCTCTCTTCTCTAACATGGATCTATATATACCTATGGCTGGTATGCTATGAACTATAATTTCATGGCAGCCTAGTAGTAATGATGTTTTGTGTATACAGCCTTCAAAGAATAACCACTTAACCTTCCCACCATCAGTGCCACTACCAAGTAAGACAAACACTCAAACTTTCTGCATGCATGTTCATAACACTTTCATTTCTTGTAACACATCTATCAATGAAGTTGGCAAAAAGAGTTCTAATGCAGCTTTGAGTACAGCAGAAGCAGTGGCCACAACAAGAGTAGTGCACGTAGTGTGTATAATTATAGCTTCACTGCTATATACTTGGTGTTCTACTGACTCAATGTCATGATCACCATCATAGGAAGGAGAAGAAAGGCCAGACTGAAATACCTCCTGTTTATGAGTACATTCCTTTGGAGAAGACACCTCCCATTGAACTAAACACCAATGAAGCTTATGGACCAATTTCACACTAAAACCACCTTATACATTGTTTCATTATTGTTTAGAAAACATTGTGAGGTTTTACGAAAGCATACCAATATTTAAACACCCATGGACGCCTCAACATCATGTTGTGCTGAGTTCATGAGGTCAGGGAAATGTTGACTATGCTTTTATATAGCTGTCCTAGCTTCTGCAAGACTATGTTAGCTTTACTTGGCTTATGGACCTATCTCACACTAAATTACCTTTAAACTCTATTGTGCAGAGTTCATAAGGTCAGGGAAATACTGAACATGTTTTAGAGCTTGGCTTGACTGTGTTACAGAGTACAGTCTTATTATGTCAGCCTTTTACTGAGAATCAGATTTGTTTTTAATACTGTGGTGTTGCAGGTGTGTGATGTCTAATATTTACAGAGAGTGTTAGAGATTTTCTCCCTGTTTAGTACCTGAAGATGCTGAGATCCCATCAGGTTGGTATATAGCTTTCATACAAAATGAAACTTCATCTGCTTCTTTTAGCTTCCTTACCACTCTTCTCTGTCAATGTAAGGTGTGGTTTCAGCTACATGATTAATTCACTAGCTTGAATACCCTCAGTTTTTTCACCAACTACTAATGGGATAATACTGTCCTCATCAGTGGAGTCGGAGGAGGGACAGTGTGTCCTGATACCACCATCACATTCACCTGCTCAGACACTCTAGTCTATGGCATGGGATGGTACGCTCTTCCTCTGCTCAATGAAGAGAGCTCTCCTGCTCTGGGATCACACATTGATATTGGGGATCCTCATAATTCAAAATCAACATTCATGAACTTTTGACCCAAAAAATTAGTGCTAAATTTGACTAGTAAATTATATAGTACGCTATACAAGTGGAAAGATTACTACTTTAGCTTGAAGCATCAAAACGAAGAAACAAGGGGTCAATTACATAGCAAAGCTACATGCACCATCCCTACACTTTTGTTTGAGCTTATGAACAAAGGTATAGGGATGGTGTCATGTAACTAAATGCTTCTTCCTCATTGGTGCTTTGAGCCATCCCTATATACCCCTTCACTTTGAAGAAAAGATTTTTTCACTTGTTTCCACTATTCTTAAGAACAGCTATGACAACACAGCATTTTCCAATTACAGTCACTCTGCTGATGTGCATGGGTATGTTGTAGAGGAGATGCTACAGCAGAACTGTTACAATAGTGAGTAAAGTTGTGTAGATCATTCGCTGGAGAAGCGTAGGTCTAAGTGCACAGCAGAATCTTTAAAACTATTCCATAGCAACACTGCTAGGTGCAGACTGTGATTAACAGCCATACTAGAGGATCCCAAACACTGTAAATGGAGCTGAGTCAGCAATACTAACTCATACTTTCTATGCACAAGCCCATGTAGCAAAAGGCCGTTAGTATACCATAGCCCACACTAGTGGCACTGATGGACACATGCGTAATACATGCATGTGCCACGTGTTTATACTTTTAGAAAAGCAATAGTGAGTCAACTGGTAGATGTTAACAAGTTGAATATGAGCATAACAAATGACTAATCTACATAGCTGCATTCACATTACTAAACATGGTGCTCCTCTGTGACTACCTCTCAATGTCCTCAATATACCTGCTTCTGAAACTCTTCACAGAAAAGAGGAATCGCCACAATCAATTGTTTACCATTCAAATACGAAGTAGTGCTTTCAATTCAGCCACCATGAAAACGCATCTGAAAATAGGTGTCCGATTGTCAGTGTGATGAATACTCTCTGGCATACTCTCTATGACTGCAGACTGACCTGTGACAAATAATATTATTCTCCTTGTTTTTCAATGTGAAGGTTTACACCAATGTAAATTATAAAAACCAGATACACTGGAGTGTAGGGACCCGACGTGTAACTACTTCCAGTCACACGCAAATCACTCACCAGCCGCGAGCGTGCTGACCATGCCCACTCAGTGGCACGTCAGCAAGCACCCATCACTGCAAACTAGATAGGTGTCACTCTTCGCTGATTTGACATTATCGTGATTGAGACAATCACAACCGAGATTCTCATGAATGGTGCATCATTTTGTTTGTGGTAGCTTTGAGAAAAGCTAAAAAAAGGTGTCCATGGCCAGGATGGTTAGCCTACCATTGTGTGATGTGGTGGCAGATGCTGGCCAGTGCAGTTGGAGAACTTCGTGGCCCTCACCCAGTATGAGTTCATCTTTCTGTTAGTAGGACTCAATGTTTTTCAGTGGTGAATATCTTGTGGCTGGTGAGTGACTGGACGCGATTATATGCAGCTCACTGCATCTGTTTGTCAGGATGTTTGCGACCACCTCCACAATCTTTGTCCTCTCCTGTTTGAACAACTGGAAGTGTATTTTTCAGGGACTGTAACCCCAGAAGGAGTGACAATGATTACTGTTCTGACACTGGAAGTACATGCTCCACTTCAACATGCTGTGAGGATTTGGATATTGATATCCGTAGCAACCACCAAAAAATTCCATGAGTGTCATTATTGCTTTCTTCAGCAGTACAAGGTAAACGATTCTGGTGCTCTAATACCAGATGAAGATTGACATGAGATCAGAGTCCATGGGGATCCCAAGTCCATCACCATCAGAACAGCCTTCAGCGAAATCACCTGCTCTGGAGATAGCATTGCAGAGGTGTTTACATTGGAATTGGTTGTGCAATTCTGGTGGTTGCTGCAGCATTTCAATTAGTCTAATACTTTTGAGAAGTATAGAAAACACAGAATAGAGAGAGTGATAAACACTTCATTAATTCTGAAAGGTATTTTGTCGTAAAAAGCACTAACTTAACTCATTATTATCTCTTTTACAGTTCCATAGAAGCACTATGGTAAGAGGTCCCTCTAGTTATGTGGTAGGTATTTTTACCAGTCCTTAGTGGATATAGGAGCACAAAGTGATGACTCGCTACCCAGTCCTGAGCTTGGACAAGATGGCAAGGGTCCCTTCGGCATACATAAGGCAACATGTGATGACAATATCTCCTCATTCCAGAAGAGCTCTATTACTCTTATTGATACCATAGGACAAGGTAAAGAGTGATCACTAAGTGGTCGGCGTCTAGCATACTGTCATATACATCTATTACTACACAACTCTCTTCTCATTTACTGCACCGGATGTGAGCAAGTGAGTTATTGGATATGTAGCTTCACAAACTGCCTGATATATACCTCAGTGTTATAGCGCTTTGCCTCGACCTCGTCGTGTCATGGGCTTGATCCCACCCCTGGCTGCGTCTTAAAAAGCACGTCCTGGTGTAGTTGAATGTCCATTTTTGGACCTCGTGACACTCATTGTTGTTACATGTACCTTGTGAGTGATAGGATTTTGAGTCCTGGACTGTATCTGGTCGTTCCCGTTTAAGTTTTCTGTTGTGCGATCTACGGCTGTGGCAACGCACGCCCTGAGCAGAGCTTGGATCCTTGGTCTACTTGGACTCCAAAACCCTGGAATGTATATACAAAGGTTGTGGTTGGCATGTCAACACTACTAACAGAGTATATACTACTCGGTTGCTATGCGCATGCTGTCATGAAACCACAGACATCTAAGCTTTCTGCTGTGTATATATGCCTAGAGGTAATTCACTGCATGCAACACTTACTCAAAACAGGTTTAGGAACAACACGTACTAGTTCCAGGTTCTGATGGCAGCGTGATTTCATCAGTCATAATGAGGAGAGTGTAAAAATGAAAAAGATCTCAATCATCCTCATGGTAATGAGGCTAATGGTGTCTGCATAGACAGGGAGCTTCACCTTGCATCGTAATGCCACAGTTGCTCTATGGCATGTCGGTGTCATACGATGAAGAACAGATAGCAGAGCTTACGCGGCAAACGATGAGGACCAGGAACTAGTAAGCGTGCAGGCACATGGTGTTGAGTGCATGGTGGTGTATCGATGTGTAAACCTACTTGCGGAACCTCCCCAACCTTTAGCAGTGATGTAGGCTCTGGTTTCAATGTCCGTTTGTAGTGTTTACCAGTCATTCCAATGCCAAACTCCTCTCAAATGCGTGTCTCTGCGCAATGTGCTAAGAGGAATGTCATCTTGGCAGCCACAGAGTTTTGTTCACAGAGACCTGGTCGGCTAAACACAACACTGCATGTGAGGTTTTAAAACTCATCATGTAGGTTACTATAAACAATCCTTCTCCCATGAAGGATTGACTGAGAACTTTGTGCTGAAGGTAGCAGACTTTGTCTTCAGAGGACCTCTATGCCAGGGATACTACTTCATACGAGCTGGTCTCGCAGGACAGTGAGGGAGAGACTCCGGTTAAACTCCCAGTGAGGTGGATGCAGTGGAGAGCCTCCTGTGGCAATTCTTCACTGAGAAAACTGATGTAGGTGGGGGGTTCCTTGTTAAAGAGTCTATTGATATGTATCCATTACTCTTTCAAATGACAGTGGTCAAGCTTTTGGAGTGACAATGTGGGAGATAATTTTCTTTTGGGAAAACTCCATACCCTGGAAGTGATCCATTTACCCTCGTACGATTCTAAACGGTGTGGAGGAAGACTTAGCAACCTGTTAATGGCAGCATGCCTCGCAAAATGTAAGTATATATCGGGTCAGTATACTTACATAGCAGTGGCATGTTTAGAAAGGATAAACATGTTATTATGTTATGTATGCATAATGACTAGCACAAAAGTTTCCTGTATTGACTTAATATAATAAAATTACTTGTCTACATGGATTGGAGGTGCACCAGGTCTGTCCAATAATATGTGCCTCACATTGGCACATGGAACGTTGTAATGACTTAGACAACAACGTTCTTTCCTTGACAATCATGACTAGTATATTATAATAGAGGAGTTTTCTTTGCTTTTACCCATTTTATCCTCTGATGAGTGACTGCTGAATGACAACCCAGAAGGACGTTCCATATGGCTCTCTTCCCCCCCGCCGTTGCTCGCCACTGTCTACATGATCGGAAAGCTTGAAAGCATTCTCGCGTGCGTCGGCGATACTGGGATTTGCTATCTATCCTCTGTGGCTTTCATCCTGGCTCTCTCACTTCTCCTCAGTGCTGTTGCAGTGAATCTGCCTGATGGGGTGGCTGGGGGGCCCACGCTCCTAGCGTTCTCACAGTGCGTGCTGTCGTGTGACGTCGAGCGACAACCAACACAGGCACGGCATCACCAGACCAACAATAATTAGTTTCTGATGAGACTCATTACCTAACGAACAGTTTACACACATGTTGTAGGGTGAGGGGGGACGAGAGGCGAGCATCACCTCTGACTGGGGTCACTGAAGCAGTGGCAGAAAGAGTTCAAACATTAGTTGCTTTGAATCAGCCAGAGGTGTGCCTCAAACTCACAAATCCACAATCATTATGTGGAAGGGAAATGGTGTGCACAACTGCGCTCAGATTATAGAGTCAAATCCTTCGAAACGGAAAGCATCGAGCATATTTCAGTCAGTAATGAAGAAAAGGTGCCCACGTACTAAATACTTCCCCCTGTACTTTATCCTCCACTCCCCCCTGTATCTACTTTCTTCGTCCCTCCCTTGTCCTTTCCGGTTTGGGTATTTCCTGTTTTATAGGTCAGGGTAGCATCAGACAGGTAGGAACTAGACAGAATGTTAGATGAACAGAGGAAAAGTACATTACAAATCACAAATCAAAAGGGCACAAGATGCCCTTTTCCTTGTTGGCACGAAGTTTCTGACTGGGCACCCCTTCAAGTGGTATTCTCCTTACATGCTCTGGGCGCAATTTGCCTACGCTCTAGCTCTTTTCGCTTGTGTTGACAGGGATAGGTTTCCCGTCACTGCAGGTGTTCTAACGTTTTGAAGCTGAAATGAAATATATCTTTGGAAAAGCATGCACCTCCATAGGACCCATTTGAGCTTACTTTGAATTCTGAATAAGGTGTAATATACTCTTTTGTACACATAGGTGTTTGTCTCAAAACCTTTTACCACTAGGCCTACAGGAGGAGCATGTGTATGGGCGGTTTCCCTGGCATTCTCTCCAAGGATTGAATGCACTGCCCCTGACATCATTAGTCGTTCAACTTTGAAAGTGTTTTTTCCAGGTTCTCCTGTCAATAACCGTTACAGTGAAGGAGACGGGGAGAGCTTATGCAACGTTCAAATGTGATGGGCATGACTTTGTGCTTTCCTGTGTGAATAAATTGGATATAATTATTTCAGGAAAAACCGGTACTGGGAACTGCTGACAATACATACTCCTTTACTGTAGATTGTAGAGTGACGTTCGGAAATATTGCTTGGGCCTTTATCCCTTTTCAGATAAGGCGTCCTCTTAACGACACACGCAACGCTACCTCCCTCGCCCCGTCTCCCACTTCATAACAAATGTAGGCATAAGCATCATAAGCGTGACTTTATGGTACATCCGTACCTTAGCAGAAAAACATGAAATAAAACATTTTACACACACCAGGAGTTTTAAACACTTACCAATTACCACAGGCTAGCCCGGCTTTTTCATTGTGCTTTTCTCCCATTTGTGCAAATTTTATTTTTATTATGTTACTTTTCTCAGGTTCACTCCATCCAAGTGACACTCTTGTCCCGAATTGGCCCACAGTCAGTTTGATGAAAACCTCACTGATTCTGACATTCTAACGAATGACAGTGCTTCCTTGGGGTTTTTATGTTAACCTTAAGTGGCAGTCACATTAGGACAGAGTTTCCCACCGTCAGATTCAAGGTATAGAGGGTGCTTAATTATTACTTTGAACTTATGCTACAACTTAAAAAGTTCCCTTTCTTCCGTCGTTCCCTCAATATTATGCCTTGGTTGGACAAGACAGAGTGATTCGAAACTGTTTATTAGTGTTATAAATTGCTTAACTTTACCAATGTCTCTTTCTCCAGGATTGAAAAGGAGCTCAAGTCAGTAACAATTCTGAAAACAATCACTTGAATGGTTGGTGAAGGGATTTGTAAGATTGTGAAGGTGTCACCTTCTGACTCAGTGTGTCCA